GACCTGACCCTTCCTGCTTATGTTTCAGGTGTGTTTTTCCTCACCTGGATCCTGAACAGGTACCGACTCGTCCCCATAAGTTTTGTTGACCAGATAATTATGAGCTACGGTGGCCTGCGAGGGGCTGTGGCTTACGGACTGGCAGTGAATCTGGATGAGGCAAAGATAAAGGAGAAGAACCTGATGGTGTGCACGACTCTCATCGTCGTCTACTTCACCGTGATTCTCCAGGTGAGCGTTCACGGTTGGTTGGTTGTTTCCTGTCACATGACGGTCCCTTCAGACCATCATTTATTCAGACACTTTCATCTTCTCTGCTCCAAAAATACATAAACACAACTTTCTGTATCGACTCCATCATGCATCTGATCCATCCAGTCAGCAACAGAAAGTTCTTACAAAACAGGAAGTAATTCTCCAACAAGAATTTTAAAAAGTGGTAAAAGATATTAAAACAATACATTTCTGTATTAGCGCAGCAGTTTCACCTCACACTAAAAATTAAGGGAAATCCAGCCTTTATAATTTATTCTGTGGGGGAAAATGCAAGTACAAAAATGATAATTTGCTTTACAAAATGGGCACCACTTTACAATATGGCTCCCCTCATAGATGGCTAATAAATAGTTTAGAAATATGTTATTGATTCATCTCTAAACACCTTGTGCTGCCTTGATTCTCATGTTGTTTTGTGTATTTCTGACTTGCAGGGAGTGACGATGAAACCTTTGGTTCAGTGGCTGAAAGTGAAGCGAGCCGCAATCGCTGAGCTCACACTCATAGAAAAAGTACAGAACAAGGTAAATATCTGAATGAAAGAGTCCGAGTTCGACATTTTTCAACCTGGGACCCCAATAATATAAACATATGTCGCTAAGCTAGCCTAGCAGCTAGCATAGGAGCTAGCATAGCAGCGCCGAAACGCTAACCCAGTAAAACGATTACTTCTCTCCTAAAACAAAGTGAACATAAGACCATTAAATGAAATAAGGTGTTTTATAAGTTCAGAAACGTTTTGGGGATCATATCCATGTGCTTGGTGGATGTTGTAACCTGTTAATAAACTAAAATAAGGCCATTTACTCCTAATGCTCTTCTTCATCCACCTGTGAGGGCAAAGCAGGGAAAAATGCGCGGGAAGCACTGCCACCCAGTGGTGTAAGTGGTTATTGCGCCTTAATTCAACTCCAGCCCTTTTAATTCCGTTAAAATGTGTTAAATTCTTAAATTCTCAGTGAAACAAAACAATGTGTGTCACATTTAATTTTAGTAATTTGTTACATGTTGGATTTATGTTCAGGTATATTTAATTATAACTTGGAAATTTAAAAAGAATATTTTTTAAAAAATCCAATGAGAAATCTCACAAGCCCCACATTGAAGATCTCTGATTGGGAAGCTACAAAGTCTGTCATTTGTCTTGTTTCAGGTGTTTGAACACATGCTGATTGCTATTGAGGACATTTCAGGACAAATAGGAGACAACTACATGAGGAATAAGTAAGAACAGGAGACAGGCTTGTTGTAAATCCAACACCAACCTCAGGAGTTTCAGTGGATTCTTGCTTGAAGGTGGAGGAACTTCGAGGAGAAGTGGATGTCGAGGCTGTTACTGAAGCCGTCTGAGAGGAAGAAGCAGGACCGCCTCTACAACGTCTTCCACCAGCTGAACCTGCAGGATGCGATGGAGTACGTGAAAGAGGTGAGGATGTCCCTTTGACCCCAGGGCGCCGATCCATAGGGCGCCGATCAGCGGGGCGCCAATCCGTAAGGCGCCGATCAGCGGGGCGCCGATCCGCCGCTCTCCACAGGGAGGCTGCAGGTGATGAAACTTCATCTCGCTCTCGTTTTATTTCAGGGTGAACGCAGAGGCTCACTGGAGTTCATCCGCAACGAAAGCGCGTTTGTTGACTTCAAGAAGAAGTTTGGGGAAGACTACGAAGAGGCAATGCCAGACTTCATGACGGATATGGCCAATGATCAGGGCGGAGCTTTGGCGATGAGGTGAGAGAACGACTCCAAACGCTTCCTTCAGGTTTTCCTTCCAAACCTCCAGATGTTCCTCGGGTCTCCTAATGCTCTCGATGCGTCTCCGAAGGTCAATGACTGTTAGGTGCAGAAATATGTTTTCAGGTTTTTTTTTTCAAAGTTTTTGGAGAAAATTTCTGAATTTAATCTCAAAATCTGAGCCTCTCTAGCGAATTTTCAACGTTTGAAGCTCAGACATGTCCTTGTTTTTTTTCTAGAAAATTTCTTATTTTCAAAACTTCTGAATATTTTGGCAGAAATGATCTCCTCCATTTTTAAAATATGAATGTCTAGAATAAACCACAAATGGTGAAGAACTTGCATATCAAATTAAACGTTATAAATATATTTGTTGTTGAGCTTAGATGTCTATTTATTCAATAATTTAGCAGGTGAAAATGTATTCCAAGTTGAAAATGTTGATTATTTTGACCCTACAATTACAAAAAGGTAATGAAAGAAACAAAACTGCTCAGATTTTGGCAGAATTTCCTTTTTCTCGTGTAAAGCAGCATGAACAAAACCAGTAACAATCCTGTTTGTGCCTGCAGGAGCGAGCCGGTGCCGTCGGTCAGTTTGGAGCTGCATGAGCAGAACATGAGGGGCCTCAGAGAAGCAGAGGGCATCAACTCTCACCACTTGCTGGACCAGCATCTCTACAAAGGCCGGAAGCAGGTCGGCCCGTCCAGCAGGCTGGAGCTGCGGCTCCAATGCCCCAAACACCAAATCCGTCCTCATTTCTGACGCTTTCCGGCCCACAGCACCGGTACCCCGTACCGCTTCAGCCGCAACCACTTGGACATCAACCAGGATGAAAACGAGGTGCAGGAGATCTTCCAGAGAACCATGAGGAGCCGCCTGGAGTCCTTCAAGTCCGGGAAGATGGGCGTGGCGCCACCGAAGACCATAACCAAGCACACAAAGAGAGAGCCGAAGGTCCAGCCCTCAGTTTGATTGAACAGGAAACTTGATTTAAGAGCCTCCTCTGCTGCGTATATTTATACACTCTTAAGTTAAACTTTTCTGTTTCCATTGCAGATGCCAAAACAGCACCACTCTGGAGACGAAGGTTAGCATCTGAAACCAACTGCACCAGATTTAACATTTCAAGTACCGAGATCTGAAAACCCAAACACAACCTGAGACAGAAATAAACCGAAGAAGTTTAACCAGTTTGGTGCTGCAGGTTAACCTGCCAGCAGGCCTTAAAGCCGCAGTGCCCCTCTGCCTTCTCGCAGCGCTAACTGGGAACAACCATCAGAGACAGGAGGCGGGGCTTAATGCTGTTAATTACATTATGGTGTGGCGCCTCTTGTCCTCTCTCCTTCTATTCATCGCTCTCTGGTACGTTGCAGCTAGCACAGTCTGTTATAAATGCTAATGCTAGTTAGCATTCGCTAGAGACCAGACATAGCAACGGGGTGGACCACGCCTAGCGACGGGTCGACCGCGCCTAGCGACGGTTGACGCCGTCTCTCCTCACTAATATAGGAGTTTCTCACTCAAACTCAAAGGTAACGTCCTTTTTGTTCATGTTGTCTAAAAACAGCGCTATGTTTTTCAGATTTTGAGTTCTCAGAAGGAGACGGCGCTTCAGGCTACGATGCTTCCTTCCCCATGAGAGTCAGCTACAGAGCCGGAGGTAGATCATCGGCACCATCCATTCCTTTACGTTGTGAACTCATTTTGACCCGGTTTCTGCGTTTCCCTGCAGCCGGAGTGGAGAACCCCGCCTTCATACCGGACCTGGACCCCTCCTCGCCGCTGCACATCCCCCCCTGGCTGGCGGACGCCGAGCTGGAGGTGAACCCGGTGGCGCCGTCGGAGCGCGCCCAGGTGAGGACACCCGGATACCTCCCCGCCCTCAGACGAGAGGGCGGTCCGGTGAGTCCGTCCGGGACCAGGACCCGTCAACACCACCGCCCCCACCTTATAGAGACGATGACCACCTGTAGCGCCGCCACAGGAACAGGAAATGACTTCAGACTTTGGATGAATGCCAGGATGTCAACCGGAGGATCAAGTGAAACTGTTTTGAGGATGAACAGCTTCCTGCAGACGGTGCTTCTGGAGGTTCCTGTCTCTGAATGTGACGCAGAGACCTTTGAAAATGAAGTTATGGTTTTAGGAGGGTTTATGATCAAAGGGACATAAAATCAAATCTATGATCTGAATTTCAGTCTATTATTTTTTGCTGAGAGTTTAACATAAAATGCTGTAAAAACCTCTCATGTTTGACACATTTATGTATTTATATCAGTTTGTAAAGCCAGACATGCAGAGGACAGCTTGATATTTAATCCATGTGTGAATGAAAATATCCTTTAGAAATAAAATGAATAATGTTTTGGTGGAGTTTATTTTAAACTGGATAAATGTTCTCTGCAGCTGAGAACCAACACGGTTTGTTATGCACATAAACATTCAAATCTCAGCATGAAACGTCTTTAAAGAAGTATTGAAACAATCATCACCGTCTTTTAAATTTCTCCTCTTCAGTTTATGTGGTCAATGCAATATTTTTCCTTCTCTCGTTTGGTGTCAGAAGTGGGATCAGGAAACGACCGACAGAATCTTTGTTTTTTCTGCTCTACATATTTAAATAAACACTGGGAGTTTTGTACTGAAAGTTAAAGTGTCATGTAAAATACTTTTTGAGCTTTTCGTTGTTCTGCGATGTTTTTCCTTCATCAACACATCTGGAGTGTTACTTTGTTTCTTTCATGCAGGTTTGAACATCCTTTCATCTCCATGTCAACCATCCGAGGTGCACCTCCTCCCCCACTCAGCTCCTTCAGACTAGCCAGCACCAATTAGCAAACAGATGGAAACTGCTGACCTCGTAGCAAAGAGCAACGCTGGTAAAAACATCACAGGGTAAATAGAGGAGCCATGTTGGGATGACTTCCTGGAGGCGGAGCTTCAGAAAGAGCAAGAGCCTCTTAAAGACACAGAGGCCCAATTTCCAGGCATTAAATCAGGAAGTAAGATTTATTTTAAGTCAGATATAGCATTTCTATAACAACTGAAGTTAACATAGTTACTTGATTGTGCTCTGCATTGACACCATGTCTGGAAAATAGATGATACCTCTTTAAAGGACATCGATGGGCCGACCGACATTTTCAGGAGAATGATGGGAGTAAGATGTAGGACATGCGCATCAAACTCAGGGCCCGGGGGCCAAATCTGGCCCGCCATAGTTTTCTCTGTGGCAGACAGGAACTCTGATGCTAACTCCTGACCTCTGGTTTATTACAAATTTTTCACAAAAATATTGGGTTTAAGTGATGCGAACTCGCAAACTTGATGTCAAGTTTATATCGCGATCGAAACGGTGACTAATAAAAAGTCTATTAACCCCAGACATAAGCACAAATATTGCAGAATTCCTTGCAGATGTTTTTGATTTGCCACCAGAAAATCTGTGACTTTGATCAAAAAAACAGATTCCAGAAATCCTGGATGGAGTGATCCATCCTTTATTACTGAATGCAGCTGTTCATTAATATTTTAAGTTTGTTACATTCTGTGATGATCCTGAAACAAAGTGAAAATGAGTTTAACATCCTGATGATGTGTTGTCTGTATTTAAACCAAGTTCCTGTAAACCAAACCTGTTCAGTGTTTAACTGGACATAAAATGTCGTCTGATTTTCAACATCTTTGTTTTCCAACGTTTTGTGTTTTGCTTGTGATATTCTATAAACTCACATGCAGACATTTTATGAGAAACGTTTTTTACAGACTATACAATAGCCACTTTAGTCATAAAAAATGCATTTCTGCAGCCTCCAGAGTGTTTGTGATGAAGTCCAGCAGGATCTTTTCATTCCCAGCATCCTTCAGGTAGAAGTGAGCGCCGTCAAACATCTTGACGGTGAAATCTCCAGACGTGACGTTCCTCCAAGCTGCTCAGGACAGACATGGAAACAATCGTGTTTCTTTAAGAAATGGAGGAGTCAGTGTCTCCATCACAAATATAAATTCAAGTGCATGCTACCCTCAGATAACATGACATTTTTCCAGGTGAGAAGGGGTTAGTTTTTTAGTTTTCATCAGGACTGACCCTGTAAGTCATGAGGGACGTCCTCCTTTCCGTCGAAACACGTAACAGGACAGGACAGAACCGGAGCGTCTGGTTCTGAACGCCTAAAGAAAGGGAATCGGTTCAGTGAAACGCGAGTCTGGCCTGAACTGGAGTCTCGGCACAGACCTGTAGTTCTCCACAACGCGCAGGTCGGCCTTCAGGGCCGGCAGGAAGAGCCTCACAACGTCGGGATTTGCCAGCAGCTCCGGCGGCGTTCCCCCGACCGACGCCAGCCACCGGAGGAACTCGCCGTCCGACAACTCGCTTCGTTTTGGACCTTTAAGCCGAGTTTCAGACTACAAGAGTAAAACAGCATCAGGTTAATGGAGAGCAGGAAATAATTTAATATTTTGCATGCGGATACAAGAACCTGACTTGACGCAAATGTTTTCAGGGACTTTATGACAAAAAATAACATTGGTCACTAAAAAATGCCAGCCATTTTCAAGATGGTCGCCAAGTAACATGCATTTCTGAACTACATTTTCTAATATTTATCACAGATGGTGTTAAATCACCCACAAATAGATCAAAAAAACATTAAATTTACTGATAATGTCTTGATATTTCAAGATGGCTGCTATTGTTGTCTCTGAAAATACGGTTTTGTACTAAAATTGCCAATTAGGTGAATGTTTGGTATCAAATCATAGCCAACAAATTGAAAATATTTTCTTGATTTTATGTTTGTTTTTCTGGTGGACATTTTTCAAAATGGCCGCCATGGATGAACATATGATTACACTAAAATCAGCAGTTGTTATGGTCTGGTTTTATCAATGTATTATACATTTTATTCAGTTTAGAGAATAATGGCAACCGGAGGAACTGAGGCCTTTATGAACATGAGAATTATGATGAACTCACATGTGGAGCTGAAGCTCCAGACAGGAACATGTGGACCGGCTCCAAGTTGTGAACTTTCTTCAGATCTTCTGCAACAGCAAAGCTGGTGAGAGCTCCAAAACTGAAAAAGTATTTAGATAGAAGTAAAAGTGTGGTCTGTTGAGAGAACCAAGAGATATTAGGAGATCATTATGTTGTTTATTTAAACTTCTCCAGGAGAATTTCACTCTGATTCTCCAGAATGAAATCCCCGACTGCTGGATGGAACATACTGACTACTCAAAACTGATCCACATCACCCCTTCCAGTGGCTGTGAGATGTCCCACCTGTGACCAAACAGAGCAAACGGTTTCTCCTTCAGCAGCGGCAGCAGAGCCGAGATGACGTCATCCACGATCTGCTGCATGTTGTCACAGAACGGTTCCCCGGTTCGGCTCTCCCGACCCGGCAGCTTCACCGCGAGCACTGGAGCCAAACGGATCCACAGCTCCATTACAGACGTTTCAAATAAAGCCTCAGAACACACAAAAAGCAGTGGCGAGTACACTTCCGCTAATAGCGGAGCTAATTAGCTCTTTAGCGTTTATGCTTTTAACACATTTAGCACAGTTAGCTTTCTCTAAACTTCCTGTATACATTTTAAAACAGTGATTTGGTCGGTTGTTTTGTAAACCTGCAGTTAAATAAAGAAAGAAATGATTGTCATTTTGGTCAATAATTAACATTTTGGTTTGTCTGATTATGTAATTTTAAAATGTTAAACAGTCATAATTGAGTTTTGCCAAATAGTTTTTTTCCTCCTGGGTAAATTGTTGGGCGGCTTCTCTTTACCTTTCATGGATAAAAACATGTTATCCATGAAAGGTAACATGTTTCAGTTCAGCTCATCATTGCGACTCTATGCGCCTCGTTGCTGCTGCCAGGAAACTGATTCCGTGTCTTTGGTGGATTTATCTTTGAGCAGCAGATTAATTATATATTTTGATGGATTTTAAATCTGGCTGAAAACCCGCAGCAGCTTTCCGACATGTTGAGCGGTGCAAAGTGCAGTGCAGGTCCTGCAGGAAGGAGCTTTACCCTCCACGGAGCTGTTCAGCACGTTCCCCCAGCGGGCGTAATGGATGGAGCCCCCGCCTGCCCAGGGGAAGCAGATGAGCCTGGTCACAGCTTCCGGTCTCCACCGGAAGCAGCTGATCACCTTCTCCATGCCGGTTCACCGGGATCCTGCCGTTTTTCCAAGTATTTCTCCGCCAGCCTGTCGCTGCTGCCGCGTTTCCTGCCGTCTTTCTTCTGTGGTTCAGGAACTGAGACATCTGGAGACATCTAGAGGCTGGATCAGGAACAACACCCAGGAACCCAGAAAAAACAGGAAACCAGACAATAAATAATATTAATACTAATTACAAATGAATTCATCAGAGAGTGACAGGATTCATCAACAGGGAATAATAAATGAAGAAGAATGTAGGAGCTATTTCTCCATTATTTTTAGTTATTAGAATGTAGATTATTCAGTTTATTTTGTTTGTTTTTCTAGTTGATTTATAATTATGATGTTTATTTTGTTTTCTAAATAAGTTTTTTGGTTAGTAATTCACTTAACTGGTTAATTGATTTCAGTTTGGGAAGCGGGTGTGTTTCACAGCATAAATATGTAGAGTTTAGATGTTGAGTCTTGGTCACGTGGTGGTCACATGGTTTTTTACCTGTCTGTCTGTCATCAGTGAGTCAGTTTTTTATTAGTGAGAATAAGTGCAGGAGTAAAGGCAGGGTTTGGCTGTAACTTGGTTTTAGATAAAAACTGAATAAAGAAAACAAAGAGCTGGACTGTTTGACCTTTTGTTTGGACTGAGTAAACCAGAACCCACGATCCACCGACTGTTTGAGTTCATTTCATTTTGCTTTGATCACTTTTGAGATTTGATTTTTTTTTTTTTTTCTCTTCGATTTTGGAATTAAGTTTTTGGGACAAATAGTCAATACAAAGAATATTCTACAGTAATTTTACAGATTTTGAAATATTTCAAATCATGAGAAATTTTGTTTTTATTTTATTTTTTATGTGGAATGAGCAAACAGTTTACCGTCTTTATCTATAGCGTTTATAAAAGTGTGTTGATGTTCAGAAACATAAAAAATTGACTTCAATAAATGTTATTACTATCATTATTATTATTTATTTATTACAATAATAATTATTCTATAATAATAAATGCATGTATTACTACTACTAATAATAATAGTAATATTGATATTTTATAATATTAGATTAATAGATTGTATTATAGAAATAATAACACAATCATTAATAATAATTATTATTCTACAATAATTAACAATAATTATAATTCGTTCAGGGATGAAATATGATGCACAACGTTGGAGTTCCTTATATATCATATCAATAAATTTTTTATGTATCATAAAGAAAGAAAAAAGGAAAATAAATGTTCATTAAAAGCCAATCTAGATAGAAACGTTAGATAAATTGTTAGTATTCAATTTTTTGTTTATTTTTTTTGTAAAGCTATCAAATATGAATAACTATAGAACTCTAATATTACAAATTATTTAAGTATTCAAAATACTTATGAATACTTAAATAATTAATTATGATTGAAGAACTTAAGTCATATGTAATTATTAGATATTTAATAATAATAATAATAATAATAATAATAACAAATATTATTAATAGCAGTACTACAACTAATAATAATAATAAAAAACTTGAGTATTCATTTAAATCAAATAAATAATTTATTTTATTAATTAATTAGTTTTTGTACTTTCACAGATTCTTTATTTAATTCATTCTGTTGTGTAATTATCTCCTGTTTTTCAGTGTAACATTATTACCTGACGCTAAGTTTTCTTAAATGTCAAGCATGACGTCACCCTTTACAGGAAATGACGTTCTTGTCTACAGTTGGTATTTCCTGACGGGTTTCCCTGAGCAGAGGAGGGAACTGAAACTGTCGCAAGTCGCAGAAATTTAATCCACAAACACCGGAAATTGTGTGTTTTTACCCTTCAACCTAAAAAAATCTACTATTAACATAAAATCAGAAAAAGAAATTCGGAAATATAAAATGTAGCAGAGAGATACGTTTCTTTATTTCTGGGAGTGCTCCATATTATTTTTTATGTTTGGCTTTAAGAAACCATTTTTCTTTTCCTTCTTTGATGCTCACTCTTAAATGCATCGTGTATATTAATTCACTTTTGTCAGAAAGATTTTTAATAATTTATCCACAAAAACACAAAGATTTATTTCAGCAGCATAATAAAGTTTATTTTATTGGTGATTAACAATCCACACAATAAAAAGAAGTTGGATTTTGTACCTTTGTTTTTTCATTTGCCACATAAAATAAAGGTGAAAATAAAAAGTTAATATTTTGAAATAACATTCATAACGCGCTGGTTTTGAAAAGCCTGTTCGGCGAGCCAGTCGTGCTTTTATTTTGAAAGAACTCAAGGAAGTGGCTCGTATTTGTTTACGCCATCTTTCCGCTCGATCTGCTTAGACCGGTTCTTACGGAGGAGGACACCGGGTTCCCGAACTCCTACCCGCCGTCTGAAAGAGAGAAACGCCGGCTTGTCACGCTCACTCAGCGGAACACCGAGTTCATCCCAGAAGAAGGTGAACATTTCTGCCGTCTTTCCGCTGTTAGCTGTCCGTGTTTGAAGCTAAAAGCGCTTTTAGCCGAAGAACGACCTGAAGTTGGAGTCTGAATGGTAGCTTCATGCTAAAGGGCTGTGTCAGTTTTTAAGGAGTGTTTTCTACGTTTAATCAGCTGCGGTTAAAAATCTCTGGTATGTAAGAGGATCAGATCTGGACTGAAATACTTAGCAGCCCTTAAAGGCTATTTTTTGAATCGGAGTTTTATTTATTTTCCTTTTAACAGAAAAAACTGCGACTTAAGTTTTTCTTCGAAATATAGCCGAACTTAGGCTACATTTTTATTTTGTGCAAATCAATAAATATACATTTTGAGCAGTTTAATTATTTTATATTTTGTTTTATCCAGATTAAAGGTCGTTTAGATGCTTTAAAAGCGTAATAGCCCTTTAATGTCGCGCCGAATAAGAGGCTAACTTCAGGCTGATCATGTACTTATTTTAGTCCGGGCTAAAGCCGGTCCAAACTGTGCCCGGTTCCTCCGAGTGGAAATCAAGCAGTTCATTATTCTGTTTCCAGGTGTGGGCGCAGTATAGAACCGGGCCAGGACCGTGTGGTACCGCTGGAAGCAGGGGAGGGAGGGGGATCAAGCCCGAATCCACAGCGAGTTACAGCGAGCCGGGTCATCCGGACCGAGACCTCATGAATGGAAATCGGAACAACAGGTGAGCATGCTCCGAATGCCAGATACACCGGGATGCGTTTCAGATAAACCGGTCTCACAGGTTTCATCAGCCGGCTGTCTGAGAGCGACTGGGCCAGGTGTGTCTGAATCTGGGAGGCTGCAGGGATCCGGCCGGGAGGTCCTGGGGCCGCAGGGATCCGGCCGGGAGGTTCTGGGGCCGCAGGGATCCGGCCGGGAGGTTCTGGGGCCGCAGGGATCCGGCCGGGAGGTCCTGAAGGTGGAGATCCAGCCTGGTGGTTCTGGATATTTACTTGAAGCTGCTGAGCTCATGGTGACTCAGACGGGTCCGTTTGGGTTTTCCTGTAACAGTCAGTGATTTTGCAGAACTGTAACTTTTTGTGCTTTCTGGATAACGTGTATATTTAACAGTAAGATGTTGGTGGGACTCAGATTTGGTGAATCTGAGCCGATTTTTCTCATAATGCAGACAAACCTAAAGTTCAGGAAATGTGCAGGTTTTGGTTCGGAGGCAGAACAAACCAGGCAGAACCGATAAAAACGTTACTCCGATATAACACAGAACGGCTGCATTCCCACCTTGTCTTGATGTTTGATCGGTGCCGTTTGGATCATCTTCTCCTGATCCAGTTTTATATACGCAACATTTTAGAAGAAGAAATATTCGTTTTCTGGCCGTCTTAAGATTCTTAGAATTGATAAATACGTTTCCAGTTTGAAGGTTTAATTTTTGGTCAGAGGATAGAAAATGTTAGATCTTCCGGAGGTTGGATAGTTTTGGATGTCAGTATTCCCAGTATTCCCAGGACGATCAGCTGGGAATGTGCCTGAGGTCACAGGCTCAGCAGCGCCGCCCCTCTGGACCCTGGAGGTCTTTAATCCGACCGGTTTTCCACCCGGAGCGTCGGCGGCGATCCGTCTTTTCCTCAGGATTCCTGGTTCCTGATCTAATTTCAGGCGGTGATGACGAGCGACTCGAACGCCTGTTTACCGCCTCCTGCCCGCCGCGGTCGCCGTGGTGAAACGTCCATGCCGTCACCATGGCGACAGCGGGAAGAAGAGCGTCTTCATCCTTCCTGATGCTTTCAGCGTCTCTGAGGTTTCCTCATGCTGTGGCGTCACTGGTTGCCGCTCCTCCTCCAGCCCGGAGGAGGAGGTTATTAATCAGTTGCTTATCTATTGATTAATCAGTTAATCAACAGATTAATCAATAGATAAGCAGGTTTTTTGATTGTTGGTACTGGAATGATTTTTTGGCTGCAGATCGAACTAAACAAACACTGTTATTGCATGTTGGGCAATAAAATGTTTTCTTACTTAAAAAAAAGTTTAATTATTCATTTGTATTTGTAATGTTGTGTAAAATAAACTCAGGAGGTTTAATGAAAATCTGCAGAGTGTGTAACGATTTTAATCTGCAGATTAAAATGAATCAGTTTTAATGATTATTGAAATAATCTTCATCTTAATTATTGCTCTCAAGGTGCTTTTGAGCAAATGGCCTTTTTTAGAGTCTGTATGCTAGCAATTAATTACTAAATTAGTTAATCTTTTCTGTAATCGATTAATCTGATTGGTTCAGTCATATCTGAAAAACAAACTAAAGCCTTGAAATTTCTATTTTTCTGTCATTTTGGGAAACAAAGGCACCACAGAAAACAAACTGGGATTAAACTGAGTGACATTTAATCCTGGAAAATTACGTCCAGGATTTATATTTTATTTAAGTTTATTAAAAAAACAGTCAGATATTCCTTTGCCTCACTGACCAATCAGAAGCCAGCGTCTGATCTGAGCTCATCTCAGGTTTACTGGAAAACATGAAAACCCAACAGGAACCTGAACGCCACACCACGATGCCTTCCTGTTAAATTGCTGGTGAAACGTTCCCTGTGAATTTAGTTTTCCTCACATTTTCCCGTCTCTCCTGGTTTTAGGAGCCAACACCTTGTTTACGTTGCCACGGCGACCTGGATATGGCTCCATCGGAAAGCCCATCAAGCTCCTGGCCAACTGCTTCCAGGTGGAAATCCCTAAAATCGACGTCTACCTGTACGAGGTCGACATCAAGCCGGAGAAATGCCCCCGACGGGTCAACAGGTACCGGAAGAGTCCGGAGCGGATCCGTCCAGAACTGGGCGTCCTGCACCGTCCTGCACCGTCCTGCACCGTCCTGCACCGTCCTGCATCTGAACCGGGGTGTTCTGTGTTTTCTCCAGGGAGGTGGTGGACTCCATGGTGCAGCACTTCAAGGTGACGATCTTCGGCGACCGGCTGCCGGTTTACGATGGGAAGAGGAGTCTCTACACGGCGAGTCCACTTCCTGTCGCCACAGGCGGGGTAAGACTGCAGGGAGTCAGCACAGCTCCAGCTGGAAACCAGAGATCCAAACTGGGCCGACTTGGACCCCAACCTTCACATAGAGACCGTTCCAAAGTCGGCCTTCCATCAGCTGGTCGAAAGCAGCCCTGGATGGTCAGAGATGGTCCGTGATCTCTGATGGTGAAATGTCTCTGCTGCTGCTTTCAGCAGCGGTCCTGGTTCCACACCAACAAGGAAGCCTTCAACACTGGCTTTGACAAAATACTGAGAACGCAGATAATATTAAATATTAACTATATATAGAAAACTAAGCCAATGAAAAAGTCCAACACAAGAAATAGGATCATTAGAATAACCACAGACCTGCACATGTCTGACAACATGGTCCAGTTTGACATGTTGGATTCTTCCTGTGGGCTTTGGACGTAGGAAGAACCACATGAACCAGCACAAGAAGAAATATTAGGATCATAAATAAATATTTTAAAGAGAAATGTGAGCAAAACTAACCAGACCCACCTGTGTGTCACCATCATATTCATTCAAAATACAGTCCACCCATTTTAGCCTGGAGAGCATTTTTCACCAGCTCCAATCAAAAATTCATAAATAATCACTGAACTCAGACATTAAGCATCACATAATCCCTGGGGATTATAGCAACTCGTCTGCAGCTCACAGAAATACTCTGGACAGCATTAAAGTTCTTTCTGAAGAAATGTGTCAGAGTCATTCTGACCTCCAGTCACCGACATGACGCACTGATGAAGAAGAAGAAGAGCAGCCAATATTTCATTGTTTAGTGTAGAGAAACATTTTGTCTTGGCTTTGATGGCAGAGATCGAGCCACCGGTCCAGCACAGCCACTCTCCCCGTTATAACCAAGAAAACGACTCCGCGGCTGAATAACGTCAACTCAAACTGCCTCTTAACCTTCAGTTAACCAGCAGACAGTGCTGGGCTGCCAGTCCTCCAGCATCTAGATGCATCTTAACTCCCAGACCTGATCAGCTCTGAACGGACCGGATCAGCTCTGAACGGACCGGATCAGCTCTGAACGGAACGGACCGGATCAGCTCTGAACGGACCGGATCAGCTCTGAACGGACCTGATCAGCTCTGAACGGACCGGATCAGCTCTGATCAGCTCTGAACGGACCGGATCAGCTCTGAACGGACCGGATCAGCTCTGAACAGACCTGCTAACGAGCCGCTCATGTGACTCAGGTGTGTTGGAGCAGGAAAGCATCTGACGGCAGCTGGACTGCACTAAACATTCATATCCAAACCTTTAAACTTACGTCAAGCAAACTACGCATATGACTCAGTCCGCTTGTGCAAATGGAAAATTAATGCATCCATAGAAAATAAAGAAAAACATTTTAATCTTAATCTGGACCTTGCCTGGTTGTGATGGGCTCCAGACATACCGCTGCCCCGCCCCTCGCGTGATGTCACAGATATGTCAGAACCGAGAGAATCACTGGAATCAACCGACTCTGTAGGGAAACTGACACTCATGTTGAATTAACATCCAGCACTGGAAATCTGACCCGTTTGAATTGGGAGGGAGACGGGTTGTTGGGTTTCATGCGGGTCGTAAAAAGTCCAAACAGAAAGGTTAGGGTCTCATTTAATTAGCAGCAAGAACAACCAAAATTAATTGAGTTTGTAAACAGTTTCCTTTAATGATGCTGGAAAACCATCTCATCACCTGAACTAAACTCACAATACCAGCAGTAACTTTGCTGGTTTTGGGTCTGAACAGGAGGTCAGGGAGTGGTTCTGACCCGAACCCCTCCACTTAGATCCATAAACAGAGCAGAACTTAAAATCGGTTCTGTTTACTGCCTGTTGACCCAAGTTGACACCACGATGTCTGAACTGCCTTGTTCAAACGCTTTGGACGGATGAAGCCGACATGCAGACTCCGGTCGGTCCGGTCCAGTCCGTTTCCTCAGTGGTCTCTCTGGTCCGGTGCAGGTGGACCTGGACGTCACGCTGCCGGGCGAAGGCGGGAAGGACCGCCCGTTTAAGGTCGGCATCAGGTTCGTGTCGCTGGTCAGCTGGCACCTGCTGCACGAAGTCCTGACCGGACGCAGCGTCCCCGAGCCGCTGGACCTGGACAAGCTGCTCAGCACCAACCCGGTTCACGCCGTGGACGTCGTCCTGCGACACCTGCCCTCCATGAAGTCAGTGCCGCCGCGTTGGACCGACCTGACGGCATCGTCGGGAGTGAGATGACGGTGTGGTTCTGTCCCCCCAGGTACACCCCGGTGGGCCGGTCCTTCTTCTCCTCCCCTGAGGGCTACGACCACCCGCTGGGCGGAGGCCGCGAGGTTTGGTTCGGCTTCCACCAGTCGGTGCGGCCCGCCATGTGGAAGATGATGCTGAACATTGATGGTGAGCAAATCAGGATGATTGATTGGCAGGATTGTTTCTCCGTAGCTCCAGTAGAGCGAGGAGAAACATTTAATAAATAAACAATTGATTAAAGTTCCAGTCCATGTTAATAATATGTGTGACGCGTCTGGAGCCGATGGATGACCTTGAAGCTCAGTGTGTCGTTTCCTGCTGCAGTTTCAGCCACGGCCTTCTACAAGGCGCAGCCCGTCATCCAGTTCATGTGTGAGGTGCTGGACATCCACAACATGGACGAGCAGCCGCGCTCCCTGCCGGACTCACATCGAGTCAAATTCACCAAAGAGATCAAAGGTGGGAAAACTTCAGATTCACGTTACATTCAGCTTCACTGCAGCAGATGTCAGAGAAATGTCTGCTTACTTCCTCACAATAAAGAGGTCAAAATGTGTCTGCTGCTCGTTCAGGTCTTAAAGTGGAAGTTACCCACTGTGGAAGCATGCGGAGGAAGTACAGGGTGTGCAACGTGACGCGGCGGCCCGCCAGCCTGCAGACGTACGTCTCTCACCGCGGAGCTGCAGGCGCTGCAGGTCCCACGCTGACCGGATGCTGTTCTGAATCTGCAGGTTCCCTCTGCAGCTGGAGAACGGCCAGACGGTGGAGCGCACCGTGGCGCAGTACTTCAGGGAGAAGTACAGCCTGCAGCTTAAGTACCCCCACCTGCCCTGCCTGCAGGTGGGGCAGGAGCAGAAACACACCTACCTGCCGCTGGAGGTGAGGAGACCACCAACTAGTTCACTGAACTGAATCCATTCATGTTCATAGTTCTATTTCATCCCTGCTGACCACAGGCGGCGCTTCCAGCACTAAACAATCATTGTTGCGCATGCGCAGTACTAATAACAAAGTCACCTGTGACTGGGGAACCACGTGACTCTATATAGTCACATGACACGTGGCGTTCAAGCCCTTTAGTCCGCCTCGCGCCCAGGTGTGTGGAGGACAGGTGTGTAGCCGGTCGTTCTTATTTCCTGGTCGGTTCTGTCGCCGGTCGGTTCTGTTTCCTGGTTGGTTCTGTAGCCGGTAAAGTTCGGAAACAGATCCGAACTTTACCGGATCTGCACAAAAGAACCAAACAAAAGTTTGGTTCTTTTGTGCAGCAATAATTTACTGGTCAGTTAGTTTAATTTGCCACATTAATTGTTGTGGCTCTTTTGACTCACCTGTGGACTTTCTGCTCGCGCTGAGTCCGTGGCCTGTGCGCAGCTTCCGGTTGGTTTCGGGCTGATCTCGCTTTTCTGCAGTTTGACGCTGGGTCATTAATGCGGCTCCGCTTGTGGAGCATCTCAGGGAGCCGCTGTCGGGGACCGTTGCGTCGCGCCCTGGTCGTTCAGGCTGGATCTGTTGGCCGCGCCGCGTGGGCCGTTGGTACCGGACAGGTGACGTGCAAACCCGCCTGCTGCGGCTTCACCTTCAGTGACGGACGGATGCAGGCAGGTTGTCCGCAAGAGTGGATCCCCTCCCTCCTGGTTTGGCTTGGGGAAAGTGCCAGCTGAGGAACCGGCCATCGTTTCTCTTATGATCCCGCCCGATGAGGCTTTGCGGCCCGATGAGGCTTTGCGGCCCGATGAGGCTTTGCGGCCCGATGCCCGTATTGCTGTATTACTGATGATCTTCTCTGCAAGGCCAATGACTCTGGGGGCCGTATGGGGGATTGGGAACTCTCTCCCATCTTATGCTGGCTCTGTCTTCCTCGTTGGAGTCTGTTTCACCAGACCGCTCCACCCAAGGCCTGGTTGATGCATCTCTGCAGACCTTTGCTCTTACGATGAGGGAACTTGGACAAACTCTCCACACTGGTTCACTCTCGCAGCCACGTCTGGTTGGCGCAGTCGCCACTTCCTGAGCCTTGCAGGTGAACCCTGTGGGCCCTGCCAGCAGTTCTGGGGGAACTTTTCTGCTTCTATTCCTTGTATTTTCTGGTTCTGAAGAATACCGGGGGTCTAAGTCCAGTCTTTGACCTCAGGGGCCTGAATGTGTAGTTGAAGGTTATGCCTTTTCGTATGCTGACCACCAAGCAGGTGTTGCAAGGCTCACAGATACGCTTATAAAAAAGGTCTATGCTCCAGCTTTTGGTTCATGTTTTCATCTCCAGTGAGTTTAATAGATGAATTCTCACCTTGGCCCATACCTGGCGTGCTTTGGGTTTAAGAATATGGGATTAGGGGGTTTGGGGAGTGATGCGCTCCATCACCCGTCTGTTCAGACCAGGATGACATGAAATTTGTTGTGTGGTTCGTCCATAAAGCTTCACTCAGCTGCCCAAGTTCACCTGGCTGCAGCAACAGGAAGGGGTGGGGCAGACCGCTGTCAGTCTCAGACCTTATTTGGAAATGGGTCTATTGCACAACAGAAGTGAAGGGGGCGCTATTTCCTATATTATCTGCGGTCTCCTGTTTTTATTTTAAACCTTTAGGAAGGATTTTCACTCTGCATGTGTTTTAACTTCTCTTTATTTACTTCAGCTCAGCTCATAGTTTGTAGTACTTCTGGTAATAATAAATCTGCTCCTTTCAGGCCTGCTGCTGCCTCTAGTGGCGTGGAGGTGGTAACACAACTAATCTAATCACATTACTAAATCAAATACTTCAGTCTTTATTTATTATTCATTCTGGCATTACAGGAACCGTAAAGTATAAATTCCTTCACAAAAGAACATACTGTTTCATTTTCTTTAGGAAGTAAAGCTAATTAAACGAGACAATCAAACCTGAAAGTGATTCCAGTTTCACTTGATGGCCAACCTGTTGAAACTGGCAAATTTCAAATTCCTTGTTGTTCCTGGACAGTCAGCTCAACTTTGCTGAAAACACTTCCTGTATCTTTAAGAACTGTTCTCAGAGACTCCGTCTTTAAGAGGATCTAGTGACCTTGGGTTCCCCAACTAGAGGTCGTTCAGTTAAAATGTTACAACTTAATGCTTAACTAGAGTTTTAACTCAAGTTTAAACTTTTCATCTCCTCGGCTGGTTTGGTGTCATGAGCTGCAGATTAAGACAATCTTATAATAAAACTTTGACTGGCAGGTAAAACGGCAACCCTAGCAAAACCAACTCTGTCTCAACTGTTCGCTGGAAGAACATGGAAGATGGCAGGAATATTGTAGCAAAGAGCATCCAATGTCTTTTAATAATGTTATTAATAATTATTCATTAAAATTATGACTTATTTCAGCCCTAAGCTCAGCTGCTGTGTGTGTGTGTGTGTGTGTGTGTGTGTGTGTGTGTGTGTGTGTGTGTGTGTGTGTGTGTGTGTGTGTGTGTGTTGGGTGCAGGTGTGTAACATCGTTCCCGGTCAGCGCTGCATTAAGAAGCTGACTGACAACCAGACGTCCACCATGATCAAAGCCACGGCCCGCTCGGCTCCGGACCGGCAGGAGGAGATCAGCCGCCTGGTGAGACCAGAACCCTCACTTTGACCCGGCATAACCCGGTTCGGGCTCACCAGAAACTGCTCTGCCCGCTGCAGGTCAGGAGCGCCAACTACGAGTCCGACCCGTTCGTCCAGGAGTTCCAGTTCCGGGTGCGCGATGAGATGGCTCAGGTGACGGGGCGCGTCCTGCCGGCCCCCATGCTGCAGTATGGCGGCAGGGTGAGCTCTGAACCCCTTATGGTACCTTCCCTTTTCAATCTCCGTCTTAGGCTCAGAAGTTCACTCGGATTTCTCCACAGATGCTGCATGAGAACAACTCAAACTGTTGGAAAAGAAACTTTCACTAAATCCAGTCTTTAGTTGGAATAACCTGGAGTCGAAAGCAGGAAAATTCAGCTCAAATTCAAACGTACCTCATGGCCCAAAGGGGAATTTAAGTTTATGCTTCAGCAAAGTTAAGATTGTTGTTTGATGAATTAACAGTTAGTGAACCCAACTCTGTTTTTGGTTGGCTTTTGTTAATAACTGCTGCTGGTTTTAGTGCAATCATATTTTCTCATGACAATCATGGTGGCCATTTTGAAAAATATCCATCAGAAAAAGAAAAATCTTTGTTTAATCTCTAGGATAAGATTTGACACCAAACACATTTATATAACTTTACATATAAAATTACATTTTCTGTGACAACCATGATGACATCATGATAATCGTTGTTTTAAGACTCAAAATGTATAAATGATGAGACACAAAACACGAGTTTAAAACTATAAAAAATCCAAGTTAAAACATGTTTTCTGTGGAGAAATCCTGTTTGTCTGCAGCTCCTCTTTCTGTCTGTTAGCTTTGCTGTGATGCGGCATTTCTGTTGGCTCTGTGTGAAAAGCAGCTTGATTTACTCGTTGATGCTCCTCATCCAGTCTCTGCTGATGACGAGCCTCAGTTAGCTCACGGCGCGGCCGCCTGCGCGTGAGCGGCTGTCGGCACCGACGCATGCTGTCTCTGCAGAACCGCACGGTGGCCACGCCCAGCCACGGCGTGTGGGACATGAGGGGGAAGCAGTTCCACACCGGAGTGGAGATCAAGATGTGGGCCATCGCCTGCTTCGCCACCCAGCGGCAATGCAGAGAGGAAATCCTCAAGTGAGATCAGAACGGCGTCCATAAAACGTATTCAGATTCTGAGCTTTGCATCGTCTGCAGCAACGATGGAAACGCTCAACAATATTCTGAAATTAAGAGGAAATTCTTAATTAACATTTTAATAGTAATGTTTCATATATTGAATATTTATTAGAATATTTTTGTTAACTCAAAATACATTTTTATAAATATTTACTGTTTAATGTAAATAGATAGTTATTTAAATACAGATCAATAAACTGAATTCATACACAATTAACCAGAGTAAAATCTTTGAAAATGAATATAAATTCTTGTGTAAAGTATATATATATTTATCAAAACGATTAATTTAAAATTTTACTATTTAATTTGTATTATCATTTATATTATTTTCTAATTTTTAACCCTACATAAGTTATCTGGTTAAGTAAATATTTGTTTTACATAATTTATACAGAAAAGGCATTTTATAAAGATTACTGTTTTATGCAAAAGTTCTTCAAAAATACAGATAATTGTTTTTTTTTTTAAATATTAAAAAATAATTTTAAATTATTAGTAAATTCTTTTGGAAATTGAAACATTCTAGTTTTTTAAAAACTAAATATTAGTGATAATAAATTACAAATAATTTTCTATTTTTTAATTAATTCCTCTTATGAATTTAAATCTGAACTCTGAATACATTTTTAATGAATATTCATGTCATATAAATTATTTTAAAAACTAATACAAGTACTACTGTCTTCCTACAGTAGACTATACTGATTGTCTACTCCTTATGCTAATAAATTTTATGCTAATTTATTGGTATAAAAATGTTTCCAGCCAAAATGATCCAGAGTAAAATATTAATGTATTTAGACGAGTTGAGCCTTTCTGGATGAACGCTGTGGTCCCTGTTTACCAGGAGCTTCACGGAGCAGCTGAGGAAGATCTCTAAGGACGCCGGGATGCCGATCCAGGGCCAGCCGTGTTTCTGTAAGTACGCCCAGGGCGCCGACAGCGTGGAGCCCATGTTCCGCCACCTGAAGAACACCTACGCCGGCCTGCAGCTCATCATCGTCATCCTGCCTGGGAAAACGCCCGTCTACGGTAAGGAGCTCGCCGCTTGCAATGGCTCTGCCCTGCGACAGGAAGTGATGCGGTGACTGACTGGCTCTGCCCCACAGCGGAGGTGAAGCGGGTGGGAGACACCCTGCTGGGCATGGCCACGCAGTGCGTCCAGGTGAAGAACGTGGTGAAGACGTCGCCCCAGACGCTCTCCAACCTCTGCCTGAAGATCAACGTCAAGCTGGGAGGCATCAACAACATCCTGCTTCCAAACCAGCGGTACGACCCCCACGTGTTGCTGATTCCTCTCAGTTCTCCGATGGACGGTAAACTTTGACCTTTACCCCTTCAGGCCGTCGGTGTTTCAGCAGCCAATCATCTTCCTCGGAGCGGACGTCACTCATCCTCCAGCCGGCGACGGGAAGAAGCCGTCGATCGCTGCGGTGAGCTGCTGGTTCCTGACGTTTACTTTTAATGTTCGGCTCCTTGGCGCCCCCTGCAGGTTGGGCATGAAACGCCACGATAAAAGGGGAACACAAGCCGCCTCCATCAGTGTGTTTTTGTTTTTTTGCATTCTGAAGCGTCGCATTAGATGGATGGAAACAGTGGAAACGCAGAATAAGTTCTGACGTAGTAAACTTTCCCATCCGGTGGTTCTGTGCCTTACCAGAGGCGCTAAATTCCGCCATCTTGTTGTCTATATTTCCTCGAGCATCAACGTCTGATGAGATCTCTGCTTGATTTGCTTCAGACCAGCAGATTTGTTTTGGTTTTTAGAAGCTCGCTGAGTTGGAGCTGATCTCCCCCTGCAGGTGGTCGGCAGCATGGACGCCCACCCCAGCCGGTACTGCGCCACGGTCCGGGTCCAGAGGCCCAGACAGGAAGTGATCCAGGACCTAGCCTCCATGGTGCGGGAGCTGCTGATCCAGTTCTACAAATCGACCCGCTACAAGCCGACCCGGATCATCTTCTACAGAGACGGCGTGTCGGAGGGCCAGTTCAGACAGGTGACGCATCACTTCCTGTTTCTTCACACTGTAAACCTCAGACGGTTCAAACACTGAGTTATATGTTCATCCGAAAAGCGGCAGTTCAAACCTGGCCGGTCGCAATAAATTATGTTTTATTTATTTTGAATATTTAAAATATCTTCCAACTCCAGTTTATTGAGCGTTGAGAATGTGTCCTGACCTGTCTCACCTGTCCAGGTGTTGCACTACGAGCTGCTGGCCATCAGGGAGGCGTGCATCAGCCTGGAGAAGGAATACCAGCCAGGAATCACCTTCATCGTGGTTCAGAAGCGCCATCACACGCGGCTCTTCTGCGCAGATCGCAACGAGCGAGTGAGACATGATCAGACTTTATTGATTAATCCAAATTCTAGGAATTCTGGAGGGATAACCTTTGATGGATTATTTGATCACCAATGTTTTTGTAATGCAGAACGGTGTCATGGCACTCAGGGCGGCCATCTTGTTTGACAGCTTCTGTTTATTTGGATGGTGAATTCATGTCAACTTTATGAAAGATTATTAGAACAAAGCTGCAAACGTTTCAATTTGATTACAAGAGTAAAGTCATAATATCCCCAGAAACAAAATGTACCATCAGTGCAGAACCAACAAAAACATTCAGAACCAACTAATTTATCAAATTTAGATTCCGTAAAAGCCGATTTTAGCAAGTTTTTTTTTTTTTCCTTTTCCTTTAAGAACAATTTGTGAATTTTCAAGCAGAATGCAAAAGTATTTGTAAAATGTATCCATCCTCTAAACATAAAACAAATTCTGCTTCTTTGAAATGATCAAATGTTTGATGGTAGATATTCATGCGATGGATGTTCTGACCGGTTCAGGTCGGCCGAAGCGGGAACATCCCAGCCGGAACCACCGTGGACACGGACATCACTCACCCCTACGAGTTTGACTTCTACCTGTGCAGCCACGCTGGCATCCAGGTGAACTTTGACCTCTTGACCTCAGCGGCGTCTCTGAGTCGTTCTGAGGTCTGTCAGCTCAGCGTCTCTCTGTCGCCCCCTGCAGGGAACCAGCCGCCCGTCCCACTACCACGTCCTGTGGGACGACAACTGCTTCACGGCGGACGAGTTCCAGCTGCTCACCTACCAGCTGTGCCACACCTACGTCCGCTGCACGCGCTCCGTCTCCATCCCCGCGCCCGCCTACTACGCCCACCTGGTGGCGTTCCGCGCTCGCTACCACCTGGTGGACAAAGAGCACGACAGGTGAGTCCAGCCAGCCGCACGTTGGATCAATTTAATGAACTAAATGGCTCCATTTAGGAGAAATGCTTGGCTTGGAGACCTAACCACCGGGCACCCTGCTCTGGGATTTAAAAGTACTGCCCATCTGTGATGATGCTCTGTGAAAAAGTAGCATCAGTGAACAGAAGCAGCTAAAAGCCACATGCTAATTCTAGGAAGCTAAAATCCTGTCGTTAATTTGGATCAGAGGAGCAATTATACTTCCTGCTGATCTAGCAAAGGTTTAACAAGAATTTTGCCTCCAAATTTATTAAGGAAATTTAAATTTTGTTTTTAGGAATCTTTAGTTTTAGAGAGCAAAAATCAAGTCATTATGGAGAACAAATCCTGACAGAATTGGCAATAAATATAGAAATAAATAATCTGCTTGATAAACTTCTTAGTGTGTCAAATTTAATCCATAAAACAACTTTCCCACCTTATTTGATTATAGATTGTAACATAAATTATTTATCATTTTCAACAGTATAAATTACTATTTAATTTTCCATTGTATTTACACTTGCTAGTTTCTTATTTTGTGATTTTTAAAATTTAATTTGCTAATTTTGTCTTTTATTTTAATGTGTTTAATTTGCTCTAGATGTTGATAATTTAACAGAAAAAATAAGTTTCATTAGTCTGTTTTAATTATTTTATCTTTTTTCTCATTATCATTTCATGTATTTAATTTTCTTGTATTTCTATTTCTCCCATATTCAGAATGTATGTAATATTTAATTATATTTAATCTTTTTAATAGCAGCTCCAGATGTTGACCAATAAGAAAATGCATAAAAAAAAACAAAACAAAAAACACATTAAATACACAAAGTGACAAAATGAAAAGATAAGTAAACTGAGAAAACAAGAAGATTGGAAACAAAATGAAATGGTAATAAGGTTCAATTGATTCTTTTAAAAATGATAAATATTCATCATATATAACAAATAATTGACATAATGGGTTCTTAGAAAATCATAAAAAATAATAAACAAAATAAAAAATATTACACCAGATAAGTATATTTATAATGTTTAGATGTAATATTAGCCGTTATTTATTTCTATGTTTATTTCCAGTTATGTCAGAATTTTTCCTCCATGTTGAAAGTTTTACCTGGAAGGCCCGGTTTCCCCGGTCCGGTTTCCCTGGTCTGTGGCCCGGTCCGGTTTCCCCGGTCCGTGGCGATGCGTTCGCTGTCTCACGGTGTTTTCTGTTTGCTGCCTCAGCGCCGAGGGAAGCCACATCTCAGGGCAGAGCAACGGCAGAGACCCGCAGGCGCTGGCCAAGGCCGTGCAGATCCACCACGACACCCTGAGGACCATGTACTTCGCCTGAGGGGCGGTTCTGATCCGACCGCCGAGCTGCTGCCGACACCCGATTGGAGCTGATCGCCTCGCCGTGAGCGACTGCTAGATCTAGCGCTTCAGAACTTGTTTGTGTTTTACTGCGGCGGCGTATTACAGCCATTTCAGAGGGAGAAGAGCAGTAAATATCCACCACACAACTCTGGAATTTTAAGTTTTAGAAAAACATTAAAGAAAAAATTCCATGTTTCCAAGTAAAAAAACTGGGAATTTGAGTTAAAAATGTCAAAAATTTGCTACAGAATGCTCAGAAATTTTGAGCCTAATCAAAAACAAAATCTAGAAAAAAGTTGTCAGTTTTATTGACACTTAAATTTTTATAACTCAAAAAATTTTAAGTTTCTTATATTTAAAGTTTTTAAATTTTGAGTTTCCAAAGTCAAAAATATTTAACTTTTACCCGTTTTCTCTGATTCAAACATTGAAAATGTTTAAGTTTTAAAATTAAGAAAATGGAAAGTTTCAATCTCCCTTTTTCCAAATGTCTTGTTTTTTTAATTAAGAAAACTTTCTGTCTTTATACTAAATTGACATTTTTAAATTTACTAATTTAAATGTACTTTTGATCTTAATTTTTTTTTTATTTTCCTGAAGTTTTTGGTGGAAATTTATTATTTACTCCTATTTTTCCGAACCACTGTTGCCCTAATACATCGTTCTATTTTTCTGAAATTTATTATTTTTTTCTGAATTTTTCACTGAAGTTCTCCTGATTCGGATCTTTGTTTCCGGGCCGGACTTGCAGAACTCCTCCGGTGCAATAAGGTTTCCTGTCTGTGCACTGAAACGGTTTATTATGGCTGAACGCCGTCTTCTGGTTGGTCGTCTTTATCAAAGTGCCTGATTGGGTTAGAAGGTGATCAGCTGGTACGAAAGGGAACATTTTAATTGGACGGATTCTGCCCGACTTACAGATGTTCATAATTTTATTGTTTTCTGTGAATTAATCACCAAACTTTAGATCTACGATGCCAAACTGGTTGGTGTTTGTCTGCGGCGGTTTCATTTCCTGTTGTCGCGTTTTAGCCTCACACCGGACTTTCTGACGGAGCAGCAGCGTCTCGTTATGCAATAAGGATGAGATTTGTGTGGCTCTCTGCCGCAGTGCTGCCGAGCCTCTGGACTTTAACCCAAACGAAGCCACCAGGGCTTCACCACTCGGACCAAACCGCCGTGCCTGCTCGCCGATGGGCTCGCCGCGTCCATCAGTCTGCTCGCGTCCGCTTTTACTTGAAGAATATTTGAAGTCGGTACCAACGTATTGGACCGGTTGGCACTGAAACGGACCTCCAGAACCCGCAGGCAGGACGTTGTCTCACAGATGCCTTTAATCTCCTCCAGTTTAAGCATTTTGAATCCATATGAAGATATATTTATAATTGAATTATGAACTAAATGCACGTTTAGACACTTTCTATTTAAAAAAAGATAAAGTTTATGATATTAATGTTTAGAAATCAAGAGGTTTTAAATTTGATCAAGCTGTCAGATAAAAAAGCTGAAATATTTAAGTTTGTCGGTAGAAAAATGGCTAAAAACTTTTAGTATTTTAGATTTAGACCTGATTGGATGATAAAGAATAAACTGTCCAATCAGATGATGGATGGTTGAAATTCTTCTTTTTAACTCAAACTTCTCCAAACTTTCTTTATGTCCCTTCCAGGACCTGCAGCTGTTTTTGAAACGGCACAGTTGTGATTGGACAGTTTGAATCCCCACCGTCCAATCAGGTTAAGGTATGATAGAAGTGCTTTGATCTGAGAGTTTTAGGTTCCTACGTTTTGGTAAAATAGATTTTTTGTTTTTAAATAAAATATTCAAGTCGATTTTATCAAAAAGGGATGAACAGTCATTAAAAAAAAAGTTTAAAAAAACCCAAACTGAAACAATCGAATGTTTTTATTTTTTAGTGATTATACGGAACTCCCTTAATGACGACGCCTAGCGTTCTTATTCTCTATCAATGATAATTTAATCATCTTCGACTTTGGAAAAAAATAACTGACTCATATTTTAACCCTTTCATGCATGAATTATGATTATTGTGTCAGGATTTTTTTATTTTCTTCATGTATAGAAATGGTAGGAACATTTTTTTTAATTATTTTATTTATTTTAGGTGACCAATTGTAATTTTCTCCAAATACAAAGTTATTGGAAAAATGCATCAGTAGCACTGTTCTTTAGGGATTATCTGATGTCACAATATTTTTTTACCTGCAAGAGTCGGACGATGTGGGTCGGCCATTTTGGATTTAACAAAAATTATTTGTTGCATTTGCAGCTGATGGCCAGTAGTTGATGGTGTATTTATGTTGCATTAGTGTCCACTTCTGTGGTCTGTGTGCATTTATAACAGAAAAATCCACTAGAAGCACAAGAACATGGCTTTTAGAAAGCTGCCCACTGTAGTGACCACTGTGCATGAAAGGGTTAATATATTTTAAGAAAATAATAAAATGTTGTTTTTTTTTTTGCTAATTTCTGAAACTAATCCAATGTATAAAACACTCGTTTGTCCATTTTATTTGCAGTTTGGTTATGCATTATTTCATTTATCTCGTAAAATTTAAGTGGTGCTTATTAAAAATTAAAATCTGCTTCAGTTTCAAACTCCAGAACCAGAAAATGGATCATTTCTTCACCAGAACGTTTTCCTCAGTGGTTCTGTTGTGATTAGAGAGGGGAGGTTCTAAAGTTTACCGTCGGACCCGAGTGACCGTTCCGGACTTGTGCCTTTTGCTGATGGTGCTGATGAAGTTCTGGTTCTGTGACTCTGCTGTAACGTGTCCATGTTGTAATATTTGTGTGATGCCAAGTAAATTAAAAAAAATATTATGCAGAACTTGAAGGTTCAGAGCGGACCGGACCAAAAAAAATTAATAAAAGACGATTGTGGAAACTTGAGTGGCCCGGTACCGGTTTGGATGTCATGTAGCATTATTTATTTCACGGTTTCTGTGCGTGGGCTGCAGCGCCTCCTGGTGTCATTTCTTCTTTGTTTTTAATTATCAGCAATAACGGGTCAGAACTCTGCAGAGGGCCGTCGGCCTCGGTTTCTACATGAAGGAGTAAATCTCTGCAGGCTGCACTTAAAACAGACATGTTTGGGTTTCTCTATATATTCATGTTGTATCATGATACTGTAAAACTGGATGGTCTGATTTTTGAGCCTTTTTATTTGTGCTATTTAATTTTTTTTGAATAAAGAGATTCAAACAAGTTGTGAATTGTTGGGGATTTTCTTGTGTGTGGAACCAGAGAGCCGTTCAAACATCACAGGAAGTGAGTCACGGTTTCAAATTAAAGCAAAGTGTTTTATGGGAGCGAATTAAAAGCACAGGATGTTTTATGAGCTGCCAGGCAGAGTCAACATGGAGGCGACGGGTTCAGATGTAAATGCCTGAAGGTTCCTCAAACACTGACCTGGGACCAGATGGCAGCTGCTTCCTGTCAGGAAGCGGCAGGTGGTGTGAGGGCAAACACGGCGGCCATGTTTACTGTCCTGACTGGGATTCAATTAGAGCTGGGGAAGGTGGGAAATGTGACGGAGCAGCTGGTTCTGGATCCAGAACCAGCTGCTGCTAAAATCCAATTCAGAAGCACAGCAGCTGGAGAAGGAACAAATGTTCCAGTTTTGGTTCCCAAACAGTTTACTGGAAAGTCAGGTGGGAAAACAACCTGATGAGGATTTTTTTCCATCTGAAACTATTTGGTGCAAGCGACCAGAAGTTGCATTTATTCAGGTTATTCAACTTTATGGCCCCAATTTAGCTTCATACATTTTGTCTTTATTTCAATCTGGAGCTTTTCTGAATCAACTTTCATAACTGATGGAATTAAACACAAATATATTGGACACGACAAAATATCACAAAGCTAATGATGGAAGATCCTGTCGGATCTACGCCTGTATTTTAATGGAGCATAAAGAGTTTTTAGATAATGAGATGAAGTCTTTAAAATATGACCAGAAGAAAGGTTTGATGGAAAAGTCCAGTTTCAGCTGAAAGGTGTTTAAACTGGAAATCAATTACAATTTTAATCCAGTTAAATGAAGGATTTTTAATCAAAAACTGAATTTAATTAAAGAAGAGGACACATAAAAAGGATATTTATAGTTTTTAATCTGTTCTATCCACTCAGGAAGCCCTGATCCTTCAATGACCTTTGACATCAGCGGAAGTCTCCGAGAGAAGCAGCTTCCATTTAGCGGCTGTGCGTCGCATATATGGGCCCCCAGAAATGCGTGAATTCAAAGGTTCCAGCCCGGAACTTTGTAATGATAAAAAAGCGATTAATTGTAGTGAACGATGTAGTGAACTGAAAGCCCAGAGCAGAATCATGTCGGCAGAACCTCTTCCCCTCGGGCCCTAATACTGAATGGTTCCGGTTCCTGTGGGCGGAGCTTCGGCCCGGAAGCGCCGCCCTGCGCGCTGCGTGGCGGCGGCCCTCCGCAGCCCAGGATGTGCATTTTGGCCCTGACCCTCCGGAAGCAGCGGTTTATGGCGCCGCGGACCGCCGCCGACGACAGGTAGAAGATGAACGGGTCCAGGCAGGCGTTGAGGGTGCTGGACATCAGCGCCAGGTTCCGCCACTCCTGGCTGTCTCCGTGGACGAAGCCCACCACGTGGGAGGCGTTGTAGGGCCCGAAGCAGACGGTGAACACCGCCAGCGTCCCGAAGGCCAGGCCGATGCACCGCAGCCGCCGCCGCCGGCTGATGTTGGGCAGCCGGGAGAGGATGAGGATGAAGTTGACGTAGCAGAAGCAGCTGATGACGAAGGGCACGCAGAAGAGCACGAGGAAGAGCTCCAGGCGCACGCGCAGCAGGATGCTGAGGTCGGCCTCTGAGAAGTCCAGGTAGCAGGTGCTGGGCGGGCTGGCGTTGCCGCCGTAGCTCCACTGGGAGTACGGCATGACGTAGACGATGCTCAGGTTGCATGACGTCACCAGCCAGAAGGTGGAGCAGGCCCAGACGGCGTAGCGCGGCCGGCGGCACACCGCGTACCTGAGCGGGAAGGCCACGCCCAGGTAGCGCTCCACGCTGACGGCGGTGAGCAGCAGCGTGCTGTTGTAGATGGTGACGTAGAAGATGAAGCCGGTGAGCGGGCACAGCGGGTAGGGCAGCAGCCACTTCAAGCCGTCCGAGGCCTCCTTCATTTTGAAGGGCAGGAAGGTCAGAAAGATGAGGTCCGACACGGTGAGGTTGAGCAGCAGGACGTCGATGGGTGCCGCCTTGCGGAACACCTTCCTGCACAGCGTGACGAAGGACAGGATGTTGGCGGGAACCCCCATCAGGAAGGTCAGGACGTAGACCGACAGCAATAGGTGGTTGCACAACATGGCGGCCGATCGGATCTGGAAGTTGCAAATATACACACATCATTTCAGAGTGTTTTTCAACATGCGGTCCGCCAGGGGGCGCTGCGAGGAAAAACTCAAAAACAGAAAAAATGAATCTCATTTTTGATCTGAACATTTTCAACATTCTTAGTTTTGTTTTTTCAGTATTTAGTTTAGTCAGAATTATGTTGTTGGTTGGAAAATGGCCTCAGCAGGACAATATTGTTTAAAGTGAGTTATTGTGACTGTTGCACAAAAACAAAGCAAACGCTTCAGAAGCTTCCTGCTTCTCCTGTTTCATTGGTTCAGAGAAATATTAATGCTTCATTAGAAAAGGTAAAATGTTATCAAAATAAAAGCCTCCATTGCTCTCTTCCAAACAGACTCAAATCTGCTGGACTTTTATTTTTCACAAGACAGTTTAGAAAAACTGAAAAGCAAACAGAGGAGAGATTTCAACCTTCAAACAGAACAAGTTGTTGCAGCTCAGTCCTAAAACTAGAAGAGACGCTCAGGACGTTTTTACCTGGATCAGGGGTGAAGATCCAAACTCTCCATCCCTGCGTCTGCAGCTTCTGGGTCCGACTGATTCATCCAAACTCAAGACGCTGCTTAATATCCTTCAACTGCGGAAATTTAATAAACTTCAGGATGCAGTTTGTTCTCTAAACATGGTCTCCCAGCAACCGAGGGGCGGACAGGCGTGATGCGGTTCGTTACAGGATGCAGTCTGTGAAAGTCACTGGCAGGTGGAGAGGAGGAGGCAACTTTGGTGACCACTAGGGGGCAAACTTCTCAGGTTACACCTGCAGCTGCAGCCAACATTGGCTGGAAATCACTGTTTGCACGTTTGGCTAACAACCTGCTCAACTGCAAGATGAAATGTATTTGCTGATATATCATTTATTTATTTTGTACTTTTATTGCTTCAAAATATTTTTTAAATCTTTGGTGGAAACTGAGCAAATCTGTCCTGAATATAAAAAACTAACTATAAGCATTTAGCTCCAAAATACATATTTAGTTGGCAAACTAAATGCCAACAAACTCAATTTTTAATTTCCAGGCTAAATGTTTTGTTCTAAATTAAATATTCAGATAACTCAGAAACAGATAAAATAACATTAACTAAGATCAAATGAACTAAGCTAAAAGAAAAGGCTAAATTACAAAGTTTAGCTTTATAAAACTAAAATAAATGAGCTAAGCTACAGTACAAGCTAAAAAATTTAAGATAAAATATAATCAATTATACGTATAGAAAGTAAGAAAGTGAACTTATGATAATCAACAAAATAAGCTAAATCATAATACAGCAAATTAGATAAAATAACCTGATATAAACTAAGTTTAAAAAACAAACTAGTAGGATGTTAAAAGCTAATCTGACAAAAACAGATAAGATGCACATTTAGGATGATCTTTGGATCAAAGTTAGTGAGACTAAAGCTCTTTATAGTAAGCAAAGCAAAATGTAGGATGATTTAAGATAGAAAGCAAGTATAGAAAACTAAAGTAACATTAAACAAAGTCAACTTTGACAAAACAATCTAAGCGTTTGCACACAAAATTAAATAAAGTGAACTAAGCTCAATTTCAGATAAACTGATTATCCAAGTTATAGTAAGATACTGTAAACTCAACTGAGGTCAAATAAAAATGAACTAAAGTGCAAACTTAGTGTAGATTAAATAAGTTAAACCAAGGTAAGAAAAAAACGAAATAAGACGCTAATTAATGCTTCGCTAAAGTAAGACGACATAAACTAATCAAGCATCAGCTTTTATTTGGATCAAAAAGAAGAAACACATAAAAGAGTTCATTTAATTCAGTCGATTTTTAATGCATCAGTTGTAGAACAAACCATTAAAGGGCTAAACAGAAAATATCCAGTTCAAGTAAAAAGGTCCTGAAAAATCCTTCCTGTTTACTGTTGGAGTCCAAACACAAACAAGGTTTCTGAGAAAAATTTGTTTAATGATTGAGAAACATTATTTATATTTTAATGGGACTAATTGGTTTTAAATTGGAGTTAAGTCTTTGAAATTTGACTTAATTAAGAGTGTTTAATGTAGGTCAGTTATAAAAGGGAAATGAAAGTTTCAGTAACTGCGAGTTGGACCAGTTTGCCTGGTGATTAAATGACGTCGCTGCTTTAAAAAAAGAAACTTTTCATCCATTCTAACATTCATTCCTGAGGAATAATAGTTTGTTGCTCTACGGGAATAAAAGTGACATGGTAAAAACTTTGATATGAGGAAATCTGGTGAAATCATGAGTCCTCACTCTGTCATGTTCACCAGTTTCTTTCATCCACAGAAACATGACTGGGAACAGCAAAGTTCCCAAATCTGTGCTGGTTCAGACATGGATATGAAAGATGGTGGATTTGTTTTGTTGGCCGTCGCATCTTTGACTTTCTCTGGTCGCCTCCGTCCGCATCTTGGCAGATGTTATCGGTGGAACCTTGGTATTTGCAAACCCGCTGGTGGGTTTCGGTCGATGTCGACACCCATCGCTCCACCTGAAGTGACTCTGCTGGCCGCAGATTCTTCCCAGGATGCCCCTCGACACAACAGGTGAAAGCATCAGCATCACCACCGGCTCCAGGAAGACATTGCAGGAGCTCGTCAGCATCGCTGTTGTCCTCCATTTAACGCTTTCCTGCTGAACAAATCCTACGATGTGCGAGGAGTTGTATGGGGCGTAGCAAATCACAAATACGGCCAATGTGGACAGGGCCACTGCCAGGACTCTCCTCTTGCCCAAAGGAGGCAAATTTGAGCGCCACACCAGAGTGACGCAGCGCAGCGTGCAAAAGGAAGTCACAATCAGAGGCAAAATGAACAAGACGATGGCCATCTCCAAGCGAAGAGGAAGCAGGATCTTCAGCTGTGTTGCATTAAAATGTTCGTAACAGGCAGAGACTTCATCCTGGACACCGACGAAGTAAGCCCCGCCTTCAGCCATCAGGCTGAGCCCAAGGTGCACCATCACCAATGCCCACAAGCCGACGCAGATGTAGCAGGAAAGTCTGGCACGGCGGTATCTCTTGTAGATGATGGGGAAGGCGATGCTGAGGTATCGCCCGATTGTGACAGCGGTGATGAAGAGGCAGCTGACATACAGAGAGGAGTAGAGGAAGAAACTGTAAACCGGGCACAAGGGTGGTGGCAGCATCCAGTCCTTCAGTACTGTCTCCAGAATCTTTACTGGCATCCAGGCTACCAGTGCCAGGTTGGCCAGGCACAGGTTAAGGGCGTAGACCACGTTGGGCGTGGCACCGTGTTTGCGAGCCTTACGGATGTACACGAAGAAGACGAGCAGGTTGGCAGGAAGTCCCAGGAGGAAGGTGAAGCTATAAACGGAAAGAGCAACACAGTCTAAGACTGTAAGATCCATCTCTTTAGACAAGTCTGCTGAAGAACCAAGGTTTCTCTTGGTTTACCATCACCCATCAAACAGGATCATCTAAGCCAAGCAGACCACCTGGACATCCATCCTGGTGTCGTCTCTGCTCAAGTTCTGCTGGTCAGCGATGGAGGGCGAGCCGAGCTCTTCCTCCATGGTGCACACTCGTCTCTGACGCAGAAGCAAAAGCTCCACCGTCGGGCGACAACAGCAACAAAGGAGGCGGTGGCCACAAAGTGGGCGCGTTGGGGGCGAGGTGCACACGACGTGATGACAGATAAGGAGACGCAGCCACTCAGGCAGAAGTATGGTGCATTTACCCCACACCAGCCTGCCTTAATCACCCTCTCAGCAAAGGCCAACAGACAGGTAGCATCTGGGCCCTTAAGTGAAATGATTCAGAATAATCTGAGCTGTTAGGAAGCGCATGCTGTCGGAGTGGCCTGGAGGGCCGGGCAGTAAAGCAGTAAACGTGGCCTCAGTGATGGTCGATGGCTGGAGGTTGGGCCCTTGGACAGGGAGACGTGTTTGTGGCGCAAAGTTGCTCTAACAGTTTTATGACGGAGAGAAAGTTCCTGTGACGATGACGTTGGAGGCTTTTGGTAAAGAAAATGGAGCAGAAAATCTCTGAGGCCTTTTATTAGAGGGAAGCTGAGATACCAGGAAATGTTTTTCCCTGAAAGCAATCACAGCAGGAGGTGTTTTCTGGAGAACCGAGCCGGCCTCCTGACAGGACTCCAGACTAATAGTTGCTTTAATGTTGGTTAGGTTCAGCAGATTGGTTCTCGTTACGGTTCCCTTTCCTCTAATGGCTTCAATCAATTGCAACAACTCCCATTCCTTTCCCTGATAGTCTCTGAGGAACAGGTCAATTTAAGATCCCAAACACAAGAAAACTGATTTTTGGGGGATAAAGCAGAACAAACTTCCTTGCTTCACCATCTTCACGGATCTTCAAACTACAGATGGACAACAATGCATCTCCTGATGCAGACGCAGGTGAGATTAATGGGATTTATTGAGGTGATGACTGTGTTTACCACATTATTTATCTGAAGCAGAGTCAAAGTTCACGTTCTTATCGCAGCCTTTATGCTTCTATCAGCGGCAGTCGAACACGATGACAAAGACAAACAGTCATTAAACAGAACGGTGGATAAGACAGCGAGAGCGTGCTCAACTCTGAATTTTAAATAAACACGTGTCGGTGGAAAAAATTGGAGAAAAACAAGGCAATTAAATCACATTTTAGAGAATATTTATAGAATAATCAAAAATGTCCAAAACGTCCAGTTTGTCACATGTTGATCCTTTTCCTTTCAATTGGCATATCTTCATGATCCATGGTTCTCCAGGCTTTTGAAAGGACTTTCAATGATTTCTTGGACTCAAACTGTTCTGAAATATGTTATGGTATAAAAACATTAATAAATGATACGAAAGCCTGAACCATGTCCAGCAACAACCTGAGACTAAAATGTCCAGGGTGGATTTCTGGATCTTGCAGGATATTTTCACAAATTTCTAGGGGACATTTCTTTGTAGATTCAATAAAAAAATCCTTTGCACCATCGTCTCCAGAGGCTCCACATGTCAATCTAATCCTGTTTCTCCTGAAATCTACGATCCTTCAAATACAAGATGAGACGATTGTTTCCACACCCTGCCACAAAACGACCCAATGTTTCCACACCCTGCCACAAAACGACCCAATGTTTCCACACCCCGCCACAAAACAACCCAATGTTTCCACACCCTGCCACAAAACTACCCAATGTTTCCACACCCTGCCACAAAACGACCCAATGTTTCCACACCCTGCCCACAAAACGACCCAATGTTTCCACACCCTGCCACAAAACGACCCAATGTTTCCACAACCTGCCACAAAACGACCCAATGTTTTCCACACCCTGCCACAAAACGACCCAATGTTTCCACACCCTGCCACAAAACGACCCAATGTTTCCACACCCCGCCACAAAACGACCCAATGTTTCCACACCCTGCCACAAAACGACCCAATGTTTCCACACCCTGCCACAAAACGACCCAATGTTTCCACACCCTGCCACAAAACGACCCAATGTTTCCACACCCTGCCACAAAACGACCCAATGTTTCCACACCCTGCCACCCTGCCACAAAGTGACCCAATGTTTCCACACCCTGCCACAAAACGACCCAATGTTTCCACACCCTGCCACCCTGCCACAAAGTGACCCAATGTTTTCCACACCCTGCCACAAAACGACCCAATGTTTCCACATCCTGCCACAAAACGACCCAATGTTTCCACACCCTGCCACAAAACGACCCAATGTTTCCACACCCTGCCACAAAGTGACCCAATGTTTCCACACCCTGCCACAAAGTGACCCAATGTTTCCACACCCTGCCACAAAACGACCCAATGTTTCCACACCCTGCCACAAAGTGACCCAATGTTTCCACACCCTGCCACAAAACGACCCAATGTTTCCACACCCTGCCACAAAACGACCCAATGTTTCCACACCCTGCCACAAAGTGACCCAATGTTTCCACACCCTGCCACAAAACGACCCAATGTTTCCACATCCTGCCACAAAACGACCCAATGTTTCCACACCCTGCCACAAAGTGACCCAATGTTTCCACACCCTGCCACAAAATGACCCAATGTTTCCACACCCTGCCACAAAGTGACCCAATGTTTCCACCCTGCCACAAAATGACCCAATGTTTCCACACCCTGCCACAAAACGACCCAATGTTTCCACACCCTGCCACAAAACGACCCAATGTTTCCACACCCTGCCACAAAGTGACCCAATGTTTCCACACCCTGCCACAAAGTGACCCAATGTTTCCACACCCTGCCACAAAACGACCCAATGTTTCCACACCCTGCCACAAAACGACCCAATGTTTCCACATCCTGCCACAAAACGACCCAATGTTTCCACACCCTGCCACAAAACGACCCAATGTTTCCACACCCTGCCACAAAGGGACCCAGTGTTTCCACACCCAGAACAGGTTTTCATTATGAAATGTATGAACCCTTGCTATTGCTGTAAAACAAATCTCTGTTGGTAAAATAATCTGAACGGAGACGTCCTGCCAAGAGGTCAGTGTGTGGACAGAGATGACACTAAACAGAAACCTGTCCTGAAACAAAGCTAATCCGCCTCCTTCTCTTCTCCCGCTGTCTCTGTGGTGAAGGCTGGCAGAGAGACGTTTCTGGGAGCCAACACACCGCACTGCATGAGGCCCGCTCAGGGCTTGAAGGTCAGCCATCTTGTTAGCTAGCAGTCTCAGGTTGTCCATTGCGATGGATGATAACGATGGTTTGAACTTCCTCCTCTCTCTCCTTGTCAAATCCTCTGGGATTTTGTCTTCAGTTATGGTAATATTTCAGCTTTGCAATGTTAATCAGCAGCTCCCAGTTTAAACCACCTTGTTGCTATGGTTACGCATCACAACAAATTAGCAAAGTATTATCAAAACTCAATCCAGGTGCACAGCATCCAAAGGCAGAAGGAACCATTATCCAAAAACAATCAATTGTCAAAACTGGAAAAATAAAAAGTGAATGAAAGTCAGAGCTGCTCCACCAGCCCGACCGGCGCAGGCCTGGAATGGAGCGGACGGTTCTGCTCACTGGGCCAGCAGCCGAAGGTTGCTCCTCCCGCTGGAGTTCACCAGCGGGACCGGCGGCACCGCGGTCCGGTCGGAGCCGGACGGAGACGCCATGCGGGTCCTGCACTGCGTGCTGCGCTGTTCCAGAGACAGAGCTTCCTGCTTTCTGGACAGATCCTGGCGCATGCTGCTGTGGTGGAGCGTCATCTTCTGCAGAGAGCGTCTGAGAGACAAAACTTCACTAACTCCGGTACCAAGGTCCAAAAGCAGTTATTGGTAAACTTAGAGAATTTGTGCTACAACACTCATCTGCTGGACTCACTGAGCGTCTGACAGCTTCTGCTTCAGGGCCTGAATGGAGGCTTCCAGCTGCTGGACCTCAGCAACGAGGCCGTGCTGCACCTGCAAACAAACACCAGTTTCAGAGGTTTCCCTGAGAGTTTCGCCGGCCGGGCTTCACGGACCTCGTCGCGGCACAGATCCATGCCGGACCTGCGGGTCCTGGCCTCCAGCCGGGTGTGAGCCAGCTTCAGGGAGGCCGTCTTGGCCTGCAGGTCTGCGTCCAGCCCTCGGATGTCGCCCTGCATGGCGGCCATCTCATCCTCAGTCTGAGCAGTAAACAGGAGCAGTCAGGAACATCTGGACGGTTAAAAATGTGACTTTCCTGTTTGCTTTCGTACGGTTTTGATTTGCCACTGCAGCTCGTCTCTGGCCTGCTCCTCGTGGTGCGTCCGCTTACGGAGAGCGAACTCTGTGGCTCGGCGCTGAGCCTCCAACTCATTCTGGACCTACAAAAAGCAAACAGAACTGTGAATGATCAGAGCACAACCCGTTCTCCGGTCTCACTGTTGTCTTTGTGCAATGACAATAAAATAAAACCAAGTTATAATCAGTAATTGATTAATTGATTGATGGCCATCTTGAATGTCTCAGTTGGATTTGATCCTAAAACTCCAGGAAACGACGACATCAAGTCAGGATCTTGAATCTGCCTGAAAACGAGTCGCTGAATTATTCCATTATCTAAATAGTGAATAATCTAACGCTCTGCTTCGTGTCAGTCTGTCACATTAGTCATTTAAACCTTAGCAGGTAAACACTGTAAATCTCCAGTCTGTCTAGAGCGCCCCCTGCTGTGTGAGGAGTGACCTGTACCCACCTGCGCTCTGCTGAGGCTCATGTTCTCCCTCATCTGCTGGGAAACGTGGACGGCCTCGTGGGCTCGCGCCACGTTGTACTGGCTGAACTGGGCCCAGTCCTGAGGGGAGGAGGAACTGCAACGATGGGGACATTTCAACGGGTCAGCCTTAGAACCAGAACCAGGGACAGTTCTGTGTTAAATGTAAATGGATAAGCTGCACCAAAGTGCTGTACAGACTTCAATAAGTACACTATTTCTGATAAAAGAACTTAATCACATTAATCTGAGATTTAAATGCCGTAGAATAAAAACGGGTGTTAACAGCAGACCTGATGGCAGCAGCAGATTATTCTGAAAGTCGGGAGCCGATACAGAAAAGGCAAATCTGAACGTTTTCATCGTTTGACCTTAAAGATCTGGCTGGAGAATATAGATGTTAACATGTCTTTCAATAATTAGTGCAGCAAAGCCAATTAAAGTTCTGAGAAGTAGCAATAAAACTTTGAAATGAATTCATCGGGATGCTGGACGTCGGCCTGTCACCATAACAAATGATAAATTGTCCCAGACGTTATTACAATAAACGACCATGTTGTTGTTTTGACACCATTTTCAGGTGACATAGTAATAATGGCCTAATAAAGCTAGTACACATTTTTAAAGATCAATAAACTTCTAAAGAAAATTTAACTCAGGAACTGGAAGACATTTTTAAATATCCAAATTATTTTCTGTAAAGAAAAATGTTCTTAAAAAAAGGTTGAGACCAAAAGGTCAAGCTGAAGAAAGTTTTTCTTTCAGAAAGAGAAAAACAGTAAATCATGTAAGTAGGTATTGAGTTTAAATGTATTTATGATTTATTGCTTTCTGCGACAGGCTTAGTTCTCTCATTTCATCTCGTCTTGAAACTAAATTATGCTGATCTAAACCTTTTATATGTGGAGTTTCAGTAATCTGACCAGGCTGAGGTAAAATGTGTCTGAAAATCCTTCAAACAGCAGCAGCTTGAGCCTCAAACGGCCGGAAAACGCCAAGCTTTTCTGCAGCTGCCTGGTGAAATGGAGGTTATGGACCGAGAACCCCGACGGTTTACCCTGATGGTTCACCCCGACGGTTCACCCTGACGGTTCACCCCGATGGTTCACCCTGATGGTTCACCCCGACGGTTCACCCTGATGGTTCACCCTGATGGTTCACCCCGACGGTTCACCCTGATGGTTCACCCTGATGGTTCACCCCGACGGTTCACCCTGACGGTTCACCCTGACGGTTCACCCTGATGGTTCACCCGACGGTTCACCCTGACGGTTCACCCCGACGGTTCACCCCGATGGTTCACCCTGATGGTTCACCCTGATGGTTCACCCCGACGGTTCACCCTGATGGTTCACCCCGACGGTTCACCCTGATGGTTCACCCCGATGGTTCACCCTGATGGTTCACCCCGACGGTTCACCCTGACGGTTCACCCCGATGGTTCACCCTGATGGTTCACCCCGACGGTTCACCCTGACGGTTCACCCCGATGGTTCACCCTGATGGTTCACCCTGATGGTTCACCCCGACGGTTTACCCTGATGGTTCACCCCGACGGTTCACCCTGACGGTTCACCCCGATGGTTCACCCTGATGGTTCACCCTGATGGTTCACCCCGACGGTTCACCCTGATGGTTCACCCTGATGGTTCACCCCGATGGTTCACCCTGATGGTTCACCCCGATGGTTCACCCTGATGGTTCACCCCGACGGTTCACCCTGATGGTTCACCCTGATGGTTCACCCTGATGGTTCACCCCGACGGTTCACCCTGATGGTTCACCCCGATGGTTCACCCCGATGGTTCACCCTGATGGTTCACCACGACGGTTCACCCTGATGGTTCACCCCGACGGTTCACCCCGACGGTTCACCCTGATGGTTCACCCTGATGGTTCACCCTGATGGTTCACCCCGACGGTTCACCCTGACGGTTCACCCCGACGGTTCACCCCGATGGTTCACCCTGATGGTTCACCCCGACGGTTCACCCTGACGGTTCACCCCGACGGTTCACCCTGACGGTTCACCCTGACGGTTCACCCCGATGGTTCAACCTGATGGTTCACCCCGATGGTTCACCCCGATGGTTCACCCTGACGGTTCACCCCGACGGTTCACACCCGACGGTTCACCCTGATGGTTCACCCCGACGGTTCACCCTGACGGTTCACCCCGATGGTTCAACCTGATGGTTCACCCCGATGGTTCACCCTGATGGTTCACCCCGACGGTTCACCCTGATGGTTCACCCTGATGGTTCACCCCGACGGTTCACCCCGATGGTTCACCCCGATGGTTCACCCTGATGGTTCACCCTGACGGTTCACCCCGACGGTTCACCCTGATGGTTCACCCCGATGGTTCACCCTGATGGTTCACCCCGACGGTTCACCCTGACGGTTCACCCTGACGGTTCACCCCGACGGTTCACCCCGACGGTTCACCCCGACGGTTCACCCCGACGGTTCACCCCGACGGTTCACCCTGATGGTTCACCCTGATGGTTCACCCTGATGGTTCACCCGATGGTTCACCCGATGGTTCACCCTGACGGTTCACCCCGACGGTTCACCCTGATGGTTCACCCCGATGGTTCACCCTGACGGTTCACCCCGACGGTTCACCCCGACGGTTCACCCGACGGTTCACCCCGACGGTTCACCCCGACGGTTCACCCCGAGATGGTTCACCCTGACGGTTCACCCTGACGGTTCACCCTGACGGTTCACCCTGATGGTTCACCCCGACAGTTCACCCTGATGGTTCACCCCGACGGTTCACCCCGACGGTTCACCCTGACGGTATCCGGGTCGGGTTCGTCTTCAGGGAGATGCTCGGTGACTTTATGGTTAGGGACAGGCAGGACGTGTCGATGTCCAGAGCTTCCATCTTGTTCTGGAGGTCAGAGGTCAGCTGGTGTCGGACCTCCTGCAGGATGCTGTGCAGCAGAGTGAAGAGCGTCAGTCGGAGGGAGGGGTCGGGTCGGGTCGGCGTGGCGCCGGATCCTCGGCAGGACTCACCCCAGCTGTTCGAATGCCTGGTCGATGCTGCGCTGCAGCCGCTGCTGCACGCCTTCGATCAGCTCCGCCTCCCGCTTCAGCTGCGCCTCCACCGGGTCGCTGACCAGCTCGTAGCCGCGACGACCCTCCCTGAGCGCCAGGCACTCCTTGGTGACCTCCAGGGGCACGGCGGTGGCGGCCAGGGCCAGCTCGCTCCGCTCTTTGGACTGCAACGGCACAGAAACGCAGAATGATGAGAAACATGTGGGAACAAATCCTGAGAGACGTTTCTGACCCCATCACCAGAGTCAGATTCTCCATCTCCTCGTCCACTTTCTGTGCGCAGATTTCCAGGACGTCCCTCCACCGGGAAACGTCCCAGATCCGGTCGCTGAGCCTGCGAGACGTGTCGCCCTCGTCCCACACCGTCTGCACATGCAGAGGAAAAACCATTCAGTCGTTTACTGCAAGAGAAGCTGCACCATTCAACAAAACCATGAAGGAGCATCTCAAGCTCCGGCCACCAGCAGGCCTCTAACATGCAGGCTGTTTGGACTCCAGGAGGAAACCGTCTGATTTCAGTCACTGATTGTCACATTACACAATGAAATGATAACTGGACTCATTCAACCCGACATAAGAGAAAAAAATGGGAGTTAATTTTTCAAAATCATATTTTCTCAGTTTTATTTATTTACATTAGTTTCAAAAATAATTAACAAGCTAAATATTTAACTCTGATTTAAATATTAGCTTTCTAGCTAGATACTACATATTTAGTTATTTAAATAATCAGTTAGCAAGTTACATAGTTAGGCTACATATTTAATTTTACAACTAAAAATTTAGCTTGAAGATAAATATTTAGCATGCTAACTAAATACAGTATGTAGCTTGAAATTGACATTTATAAATGAATAACATGTTGAAAAGATGACTGAAAAATGAGCCCCCATATTTTATAGGCTTTGTAGTCATGAAGCATAATTTGAGTTTGATGTATTGCTAATAATATGAGGTATGACTGGGTTTTATCTGCGTCTTCACAAGTGATCAAAATGAAAACTACAAAAAGAAATGACCCATCAATGTTGAAAATGATCCTCAGACTGCTCAGCCTGGCGCCCCACCTGGCAGTGGGTCTCGTTGCGCAGCGTCCGGCCCTCCTGCCGGACCTGGTGGGAAACGTGTCGCTCACGTTGCGCGGTGGCGGCCAGCTGCTGGTTGTTGCTGAGCCACTCTGACATGCTGTGCCGCAGGCCGGGCTTCGATGAAAGAGCAGACATCCTGCTGCAGCGTGCGGATCCAAACCTGGAGAAACCTGAAATATTAGCATCCTGGAAAACTCTCTGCAGGCTGAGCCTTTAGATTCATCAGTGCAGTCTGTCTGCAGTCTGTCTACAGTCTGTCTGCAGTCTGTCTACAGTCTGTCTGCAGTCTGTCTACAGTCTGTCTGCAGTCTGTCTACAGTCTGTCTGCAGCGTGTCTGCAGTCTGTCTACAGTCTGTCTGCAGTCTGTCTACAGTCTGTCTGCAGTCTGTCTGCAGTCTGTCTGCAGTCTGTCTGCAGCTTGTCTGCAGTCTGTCTGCAGTCTGTCTGCAGCTTGTCTGCAGTCTGTCTACAGTCTGCAGTCTGTCTGCAGCTTGTCTGCAGTCTGTCTGCAGCTTGTCTGCAGTCTGTCTACAGCTTGTCTGCAGTCTGTCTGCAGTCTGTCTGCAGCTTGTCTGCAGTCTGTCTACAGTCTGTCTGCAGTCTGTCTGCAGTCTGTCTACAGCGTGTCTGCAGTCTGTCTACAGTCTGTCTGCAGTCTGTCTACAGTCTGTCTGCAGTCTGTCTACAGTCTGTCTACAGTCTGTCTGCAGCTTGTCTGCAGTCTGTTTGCAGCTTGTCTGCAGTCTGTTTGCAGCTTGTCTGCAGTCTGTTTGCAGCTTGTCTGCAGTCTGTCTACAGTCTGTCTACAGTCTGTCTGCAGCGTGTCTACAGTCTGTCTGCAGTCTGTCTACAGTCTGTCTTGACATTGTCCCTAAAGGTCTCTGCCTCACTGTTGCCATTTCTGAGCAAGCTCTGCACTGGTGGAAACATGATCTCTGACCTTTCATAAAGTTTTTGTCTGCATGTTGATTTATTCTTGGGTTTTTGTGACCTAAAGCTCTTGAACTACCTTTTGCTGAAATGTGATCTCCCTGATTAAGATGCTGGTTCTCCAAACCTTTAGTCCGGAGAACCTGTTCGTCACGCTTTTGTTTCATTGATGACTAATATTGGTAAAACACAAATCTTTTCATCAGCTGTTTGGAAGCAGGTTTCCAGTTATCAATAGCAGCTGATTCTTCAGCCATTCCTTCAGAGTCGGAGACAATAACTATAAATATGAACCGACACCAGAACCAGAACCAGATCCCTTTGGGATCAACTTTTTAATTAAACTAAACAAAATGTTTATTGATTAGGTCAATTTTTATTAAGTTTAAAATAGTTTTCATCTGATCACTTTATTTCTTTCCAGCATCTTGTTAATGTAAACTAAAACCATAAACAGAAAACACCTCAAATATTTCACATAATTAATAAGTTATTAACTTTATAAAGTCTGCGGAACCATCAGAACTTTACCTGTCTGAGTCCAAACGGGCCGCGCGGTTCTACAGCACCAGAACCGCCCCGGTTCGGTTCCGAACTGGACCCGAACGGCTCATTCTGTGGGTTTTTCTCTCCTTGGTTCCAGAAGGTTCTGACGCGATGACGGCGCGTTTCTATAGCAACGGCCAGAGGCGCGGGAACCGTCTCCAGGCAACGCGCCGTCACAGAGGCGCCATGACGTCACGTAAAGGGCTGAAATGAGGCCCAAACCGAGCGACCGCAGAACCAGAACCACGTTCGGTCAGCCTGGGTTTTATGGACCGTTCAGAACCTTCACGCCGACATTAGCTCTGGAAGCTACAAGCTAACCTGTAGATGCTATGCTAGGTTAGACATCCGGTCCAACGAACAAGTGTTCAGTCTCTGGCTCGCGGGCCGTTTGCGGGCCTTGGGAGGATTTTGTTTGGCCCAATTTGGGAAAAGCTAACCGGTTGACAACACGTTTAGATCCACAGATCTCACAATGATGGACCGGAAGTTATCAGGTTTTTAAGATTCAGTTTGATCTTTGAAAGCATCTTTCAGGATTTTTGAGTTGGATGTTAAATTCTTTACTGTTGGCTGATTGTCCACTTTTCTTTACTCTGCTTCATTCTCCTACTACTCTCCAATTCTTATCACTTCCTGCATCGGTTCCGTTTAGTCAAACCCGAGTCGGTGGTGAGAGATGATCGCCAACTCTGAGCCTGGTTCTGGTTCTGCTGGAAGTTTCTTCCTGTTAAAGGTGAGTTTTCCTCTCTATTGTCATTACATGTTCAACCAGAAGAATTAGAAAACTTTTCAAAACCAATTTGAGTAACAAACAGCATAACACCAACTGAGGCGCAGATTAATTGGAAAGAAAGTCTGATTGGATTGTTGTAAAGTGCTCTGAGATGGCATGTATTGTGAATTGTTGTTATATAAATAGACTAAATCAAAATGAAAGTGCAGTCTACAGTCAGACAGCAATTACATGATTATAAAAATGCTGTTTTTCATGTTTATCTTGGACTTACTGAGCCAAAGCTGAAAGTAAATAATGTTTCCTAATAAAATGGATTCAAAGTTTCACATAACGCAACACCAAGAGGGAGAGACATCAGCAACTGTTGCTGTCCATCAACATGGCAATGGGTCAAAGGTCATCTTCAGCCCAACGGCAAGCCAGACGGTGATCATATTGTATTTTTCTTTCCCTGAAAACTTGAAGAGAAATTCAGTCAGACATCAATACGTCTGTTTTATTGTGTCAGTATTAGTCATGCCAGTGGTTCTGGTCCAAGCCGCCGTGACTGTCAGTGTAAACAGAAGTTCACGAGTCGTCAGTACGGTTGGAGGAGCTGATCCCGGATCGTAGAGCTAAAACCCGCAGGTCCTGGTTCCCCAAGGCGAGGTTCTGCTCACAGCATCAGCTAATGCCCAGCAGACAGAGCAGAAATGCTAAAAATCATCTCGGATCAGTTTCTGTACACTTCATCCAACAGGGACTGAAGCCGACTTCATACAGAGGTTCTCCGTGTCCCGTTACCTGAGCTACGTCAACAAAAAAATCTAAAATTAAAAGCCTTCATCTGCCCGGTCCGAGTCCAGCGGCCCGGTCAGAGTGAGTCCTGCGGCGCTCAGCGTTCAGGTCACGACCAGTAGCTCCAGAGGCGAGGAGGCCGGAGTGCAGGAAGAAGCCGAGATGAGGAGGTTGGGAGCCGTGCGCGGGTGAAGAGCTGTCGGAGCAGGAGGCGGCGCCGTCCCCGCTCCGGGTCGGGTCCACCGGGATGAAGGGGACGTGTTGACGCTGTGGGGTCCGGCGCTCACTGCGGCGTCTCGTCCCCGTTGACCTCCACGCCGTGCTGCTGCAGCTGAGCTCGGAGCAGAGCGTTCTCGTTCTTCAGCTCCTCCATCTGAAACCAAACAATAAAACTCTGAGCCGCCTCCTCAAGAAGATCAGAAGTTTTCTGCACCGCGAGGGACTACCGCCATCTTGGCAGGCAAGATGAACCACGACTTCGAGACCAGCAGAAAGAAAATATAGCGTCACCCTTTGACCAATGAGAAAGATGCATGGACAAAATGGCTGCTGGGGGGAATGAGGAGGGCAACATGTCAGACGATGTGGACAAGCTGCCTCTGATGTCATTATGACATCATTATTTGCGAACATGAAGAGTTTATACAACATGGAGGAACTTCAGGCAATCAATGTTTACAGGATTTGTAAAGAAAGCAGCAGCTCTGCAGGTGGATAACCAGGTTCTGGTGGAGTAAATCCGCTACAATAAGCAATAAATCAATGAGTTACAGGATTGAAATGAGTGCAATCGTTTCCATCTGCATGATTTTGAAACCGAATGACAAAAGTTTGTCTTTGGTCTCAACGGCACTTTGTTTTCTTTGGAGGATAATTTTGCTCATAATTCATTTTATTTGTTGTTTCTGTTTTATCTATTTTGGATCTTTAGCGTGTCTCCTAGAGATGATCTTTGAGAATGAGTTATTGCATTGTTTTGCTTTTACCATTATATTACTGGAAAATGGTCTCAAAACAGCAATATTATCGTTTATCACGATAACTTCTGGGCTAATTAATCGCACACCAATATTTGTAATTGTTACAGGTCAAATGCTACCGAACAGCGAACAGCTAAATTCTCACATAAAAATCATTTTTCTGAATCTGAACTGGAAAGAGAAAAGTTTGGTCTGATTTGACTTCAGAGAGCGAGGAACACGGTGTATGTAAACTTGTGGATTCTGGGCTGGATTTGGACCCCGTGACCTTTTGACCCCTGGTTAAGCCGGTTCCAGGGTCACCTGTTGCCTGAGCAGCTCGTTGTCCATCTCCACCCGCTCCACCTCCTTGTAGCCGTCCTGCAGCCGCTGGTTGTTCTGCCGCAGCTCTCGGATGTAGTCGCAGGCCTTGGACAGGATGCCTCCTTTGCTCTGAGCGACACACAGATTCACAGGCGTCGTTAGGAACGCCGGCCGGGTTGGCGCCGACCTGGCTGGCGCCGGCGGACTCACCGCTCCGGTTCTGGTGTCCACGCTGCAGTCCGGGATCAGCTTCGACAGCGTGACGATCCAGTTGTTGATCTTGTCTCGTCGTCTTCTCTCCACTGCCACCAAAAGAGGAAACTTTCACTTCAGTTCCAGATTATTTCTATTAGAGATGATCGATTTTTCTCTGCATCGGCTGAATCTGAACCTCAGATATCGGCATCGGTAAAACGTGGATCAGTGCGTCTCATGTAGTTGTGAAGTTCTGTCACAATGAAAATCTTCAGTGGGTTCTGTTGGGATTTTACGTGACTTAGAGCAGAGGTTTTTATTCCTGCTATGCGTTGGGCTAATGCTGGGCTCTTTGTCCTGGTTTTAAATGGAACAAGTTTGTCTGTTTTCCAGGGAGAAATTTTGTTGAGATTTTGCAACAGAATGACGAAAACATAACAATACATGTCCTTGTTAGGTTTTTTTATACTAAATCACTTTCTTCTTGCATTGCATTAAATCCTCTATTCCCTCAAAAGTTTGATGTTTTTCTTGATTCTAAAACGTAGGAATACAAATAAAACTGGTTCTTAAAAACGTGACAGTTTCCTTCAGTTGAGGCTCTGAACTGCTTCCCATCGTTGGAGCAGAAAAGGCTCTTTGTGTTGATCAGGAGAAAACAAATGTTTTCAGCATGAAAGTCAGAAATGTGGAAACTTCATTGTTTCTTTCCACTTTTCCTCCAGAATCTGGATTTACAAATGAAACGCAGAAAAACCACCTTCATCTGAAAACAGGCCTCTGGACTCTCATGGTAAGTTTTTAATGTTTTCAGCTCCATTTAGGCAATAAAAACAAAACAAATGAACTAAAAACAGTTTTAATTCTCTGTATTATCATATTTATTACTGTTATAAATATCGTGAGGTAGTATTCCACATTCCACAGCAGTGGCAAGGTAAACCAAGACAACCAATTTTCCTACACTAAATTTTAAATTTCACACAATACTGGTCGAAAGAAGTTAGAAAGAAATCTGAAAAAATGTTTTCTGGCATTTAGCAAATAGAAATAATTTGGTTTTTAGGATTACCATTAACTGAGCTGAAACAGGAGAAATTTGATCCAATTTAACTTCAGATAGGAGAAAAACATTACTTTTATAATCTTTCAGCTGCAAATAATAGTTTCCAAATTCGGGCTTTTAATCAAACTTTAGGCTGAACTTTACTACAAATATCAAGGACTTTCCAAACCTCCAAGGATTTTCAAGAATATCAAGGACCAACCCGCATAAACCGTGTTCAGTTTTCTTCCACTTCACTACTGAGGTCACTTTGTGTTTGTCTCTTAAAATCCTAGTAAATATTTTAAAATCTCTGGTTGAACAACAGGAAATATAAAAAAGTTGAAGGAGGGGGAATATTTTCAGGGAAGTGACGAACCTTCATTGTGCTGAGCTCGCCGCCTCTCGTCCCTGGGGGCCCGCGGACCTTCGACCTTCCTGCAGACACAGGACACTGTTTCAAACGAGGGTGACACCTGGTGGTGGGAGGCCTGAACTGCAGCCAATCCTGACTTCTCTAACTCTGGAACCAGAACTGATTCACCGTCAGGATCGAAGGAAAACAAAACGACACCTGATATTTTCACCTGGATGGACCTGGAAATGCCACCTTGGAAGTTCAAATGCTGGCCTGCTGACCTCCTGACCTTTTGCGATGGAGGAGGGAAGGTTACTCACGTTGTGTAGGTGTGCGTCCTGGGTGCGATGGTGCGAGGACTCGCCGTCTGCAGAACCTCTGACGGACTCATCATCACGTAAAACTGGCCTCCTGCCTGAGTGATGGCCGGGTCGGCGCCTTGGACCGACACCGCCGTTCCATCGCTGACGGCGGCCGCGGGAAAATAAGCGAAACGCGTTTCTCCTCCAACGGCGTCCCCAGCTGGACTCCCTCCGTTACTGAAGGAGTTCTGGATAACCGCCTGGAAGTGGAAGGAAGGAGCAGGTCAGACAGGAAGGTTCTCCAGAAATCATCCTCCTGCCACGTCTTCAAGGAGTCAGCCAGTTATGCTCATGCTCTTATTTTGAAAGGGCTAAAGAATGTTTACACAGCATTTCCATTTCCTTTCCTCATGTTGTTTTATTCTCTCTCACTTCAGTTAAAACAAGAAACTAAAACATGGAACAAAATAGAAACATTACAACATGTAAACTATAATGTCAAAATTAAATCATTCATAGAATTTTAATGGCTTCAGCATTTAAACTTGATTTGAAGGATTTCATATAGAGTTCAATATATAATTGAAGAGAATCTGGAAATCAAGTTTTTGTTCCAGATGTTTGGAGGTGTAAATTTTATATTTATCACAAATAATAAAACGGTTAACAACATATAAATGCTCTGGATCACTAAGGTCACATTTTTCCATTACAAATAATAAAAAATAAATCAATGAATAAAACAGGAATCTGAAAACAGAAACTTCTCCTCCTGATGGATGTTTATGGTTTGCACAGCGGCTTTATAACTCGCTGTGATGAAAACGAGTTTGTGAAGGAATCCAGGTCCTTCCAGAAGACCTGCTGACCCAGAACGCTGCCACGGCCGTCCGGGTTGTTTCTGGACCCACCTGAGCCACAGCTTGAGGAGCTCCGGCGAACGCAGCGGCGGAGACGACGCTGACGGCGCCGGTCGCCTCCGCCGTCGCTTCCAGCTGGTCCTCGGTCACCTGAACCACCCGATAGGTCACCTGCAGACGGAGCGCAGAGTTAATCTGTGGTGCTGCAAACGAGAACCGTCCGTTCTCCGGTCTGCTGCAAAAACAAAAAACCCAAACTCGTCCGCCTGACCTGTCCGCCGTTGTTCTCGGTGCGGAACTGGTACTGAACGCCGTGGTCCGTGAAGGCAGCCTGGGGGACGCTGGTGATGGTGACGGCCGACTGTCCGTCCGTCCCGACAGCTTCGCCTGCAGAAACAACGAGTTCAGAATGAGTTCAGGACTCATTTCTGTCTGCAGATCAGTTCTGCCCAGAACTGTTTCAGCTTCACCTGGTTCAGATTCTGGAAATCAACTTTTACAATAAAAATATTCATCCAATAAATAATCAACACATCAGCAGAGCTAGAAATTTCCAGCTGCATCCTTTCCTACAGATGATCAAACATCCACTAAAGCGATGCTGTTATAGACTTTTGTGCAATAAGGCATTTACTTTCTTATTTGAAATGTCATTTCATTTTCCATGTATTTCTAATACCATGCAGGTTTATTTCTCTATTAAAAAGACAGACTGCCTGCAAAATATGATAAATAAAAATAAAGATGTGCAAAAATGTGACTTAAAACGAGTAAAAATGCAAATAGTGTGCATTGGGTTTGCTGCACTGTGTTCACCAGTGAAGAAGCTCCAAAGTTCAAGAGCAGACAGAAATGATTGGAAAATATAAATCCAATCATTTATATTGGATCGATAGTAGAGCGATACAGTCTGAATATTTGATCCAGATATTTATTGTAAAAACAATTTAAAAACATTAACAGCTTCTCTGCTGTGGTTTTAGTCAGCAGTTAATACAGATGCTATTTTCAAACAGGCATCTGAAAGACAGCCATTCCATAATAAACTGATTTTTAATCACTGAGCTGCACTGAATTATATCTAATCATGTTTTCATTTAAACAGTAATAATGAGGTTTTCAGAGATTATTAAGTAAATTTGTTGACATAATTCTCCAAACTCTTCTTGCTATCAGAACATTTTAAAATGACGGGCCTTTTTAATGATGTAACCTGGGGACCAATTATTCTGATTAGTAATTTGCCCAAATATGATCAATATTTCATTAATTTAAAGTTTTTTTTATGTCATTCAGAGAAATAGTCAGATTTGTGTCTTTTTATCCTCCTGTGAGGTTTTAGGAGAAAACTTCATGAGATCAACTCTGGCTGCAGAAACATGATTTTACCAAATGAAAGCAGAAACTATTTGAGATTTTCTTGTTTTGAGCATAAAAAGCAGCAGATTTTCATGTGGAGCCGCTCACCTTCCTGCAGCTGCACCACTTCTTCTGTTTCCTGTTTGGCGTGACTGAAACATGAAAAAGAAAAGACACGAATCAGTTTCAACCTGAAATGAACAGAAAACAAACTCCAAAACATATGAGCAGAGGTTGCACAGCGCCACCAGGTGGACGGATCTGGAGCTGAGTTGCAGTGAAATCAAGTTTGTGCAAAAGGAGCTGAAAACAGACGCAGCTCAATGTTGTGTTTATTGTCCCTTACATGAAACACAAATACTGCTTGTTAGTGGATGCAGTTTCAACAAAAGCCCCTCCACACACACACACACACCGATCCAGCATCACTTAGAAGCGAATTTAATCGGTTTTAAAACGCTGAGCTGCTCCGGGAGAGAAGCCTGACTGAGGCCGAGGCAGAGCGCCTGAGGGCGGGCAGCGAGAACCGGAGCAGCCGCCTCTCACCTCACCGAGCCCTCCAGGCTCTGCTCCAGCATCTCCATCAGCCTTCCCAGGATGGAGGAAACTTCAGCGGCTCGGGTGGACGGAGATGGAGGCGCAGATCACGGGGACAAACACCCGGGTCATGTGAGGAAGACAGTCCGGGACACGTGAGCCGCGGAGCGGGCAGGTGCGCAGCTGGAGGCCGCTGAGGAGCCGCTGCGAGCGGGCAGACCGAGCAGGAGCTGCGGCCCGGGGTTCGGTCCGCTGCGATCGGGGTTACAGCGGCTGGAAGCGCCAACAGAAGCCGGATCCTGCCTGAAAACACACGGAACCGGATCTTTTTGTCCTCGCTGTCCTCTAAGAGCTCTGCGGCTGTTTCTGCGCCAAAACTGCGACTCTTAATGCGCCCAATAAGACGCGGAGTGGACTCCTTTGCGCTCCTCTCCACGGCATAAAACCAGCATTTCTTTAATCCCTAATTGTTCATTTTCATGCCTAAAACATTCGATTGTGTTGTTGTAACCACGTGACTGATCCAAGCCATTTTAAGGCTCAGAAACGGTTCCTGTTGCTGTTTTTGCGGGTTTCTGTGGAGTAAAGCGGATTTTCTCTCGGATCGTGAGCTTTCTGTTCGTATACTGTCGTGAATATTTTTCTACAAAGCCACTCAGCGTGTTTCATCCCACTAATTCGCTGACACTCCGCTCATCAGTGGGTTTTTTCAGCTTCTTCACTCAGGTGACCACAGAGATCCAATACGGGTTTTCTCACAAACCACATGACAAAACCAGCCATGTCTGCCAGGAAAAAGCTCCTGGCGGCCCAGTTTTATGACAGCCGGGGTCCATTTTAAGTCCCAACCGAGCACTAAACCGATATTAGTGATTTACTGCGCCTCACGCGTGTTTTCAGCTCTGCTGGAGGTAAAAATCCAGGTTTTAGGAGGCAAAGCTGGGACACATTGCAGGGCGTATCGCCGACACGCTGCAGTTCATTAAAAGCGCCACCAGATGGAGATGAAGCGCAAACACAAGGGGGGAGAGAAGATTAGCTGACAGGCCGCAGCCGCCATATTGTTAGTGGCAGTTTGGGTCGGTTCTGTTAACTCTTGCATTGTATTGAGAAAAAAACTATGTTTATGATGTTGCGGGTCATTTTGACCCGTATCGTGTAATTCGTCTCAAAACAGTCAAAAATGAAGTCAAACCGGTCAGAACTTTATTTTAGATTACATACACACTTATGAGAGATGAGAAGAACAGATGCACAACTTGAACACTATATCATTGAACTGCTTATTTAAAATTTTCACTCTTCATGAACACTGCTTTTCATTGGCCTTGCCTCATTGTCTCTGTCAATGTGCAACATTTTCAGTGTTCCCCACATGACAGAATGGACAGAATGTGACAGTGTGCTTTATGCAAATGTACTTCCTGCATCTCACACAAGAGGTTCTTGTTTTACTGTCATCTTGGGAGAAACAGACTCGGCATCTTTTACATTTTTTTGCACCTGTATCGAAAGGTTCCATTGTAGGTTAGTCAGGGCACTGTCGATGCCTTGGACTCATCGACAGTAACATGGGGTCCAGGATTATACAGTAAAGGCAGGATTTCGACCCATTTATCCCAGACATCTCTGATTGCTGTAAGTTTGTCTCTCTCGCGTCAACCAGCTCTGGTGTCACGGTTGTCAAATCGTATGACACGAGAGATCATGTGAAATGTCTCCAAAGACATTGTTGCTCGGAAGATTGGTCTTCCATTCTCTTCATTCCACAAACTTGCAGTTGCTTCACCCTTCGACCTGTATACTCCAGCTAACACCAGAATTCCGATGTAGGCATGCAAGCCAGTTGGATCCAGTGGTTTCCAGTGGTATCTCACACATTTCTGTGTTAAAACTCGGGCTGTTGTTGTTTGTAACACATTGGTTTTCTGTTTTATATTAGTAATTTATTAAATGTAAGTAACTATGTGACTAAAAATGTTATACTACAACAATCTTAGTTGAAAAACTGACAGAAAACGAGAGTCTGTAAATCTGTTCCATCAGTCTGGAACATATTTATGCAAACAGAGGGAGCCTGAGGCCTTCCTCTGAGGCAGATTATAGCGATGGGTTGGTCCAAATGCTTTTCCACTTGGACCCGCTTCCTTTGAGGATGTCTCCAACCGCCACTCACTGAAATGTGACGATAATAATAATAATAATAATAATAATAATAATAATAATAATATAATAATAATAATAATTGAATTCCTTTGATGTTAAGGCGAAATGTGATAAACTTTAACTCAGGCCAGATTGTTGCTCCTGTGTGTATCTGATCTTCTCCAGCATCATCTGAGGGACTCTGGAGGAAATGTTTCTGACTTTATATGACACAACTCACCATTTATTGCAGTAATGAAGAAGGCCAGACCGAACAGCAAATATTCATTTTTCTGATCAAAATCTAAATAATTGGGAAGAAAACAGCATCAGTTCTATGTTGATGTTAGTTTCAGTTTCTTCTTTGGATCGCAATAAAAACAAAACAAAATCAAGTTCAGTTCACTTTATTTGTAACTGATTTCAACGAAAATGACGATTGTTCCTCAGGGCAGTGGAAGAGAAACCACATTATACTGATATTAAATCAATACTACTGGAGCACAGTGAAGTTTAGATTTCCATATCTGTCATATCAGAATGAAAGGAAACAATAGCAGTGATATTCTTCATGGCTCCTGAAACACAGAAAACTACATTTAAGCCAGAGAAATAAAGAAGGACAGAATGAACCCTGATCAGAGAGAAAACAGAAGAACATTCTCTCTGGGTTTGCAGAACTTTGCAGAGTCTCCATCCCAACTCCTGCACAGCGGCTGGGTGAATGTGGTCTGGACTCTGTGGATGGGAGTCATGGTTTCGGTTTCAGAGACCCAGAAGGACAGAAGACCTGCTCTGTGATCCAGATACACTCCCAGTCTGGAGGATCTAAGATGGCAGTCAAGATGTTGTTGTGACCAAATGTAAAACAGGAAGTCTAAGACCCGCCCCCTGGCTCTGATTGGTTCCTTCCAGTTAGCGCTGGGAGAAGCAGGAGATGGATTTTGATTCCTTACTGTCATGACATGCTGACAGCTTCAGTAAATATGTAAAACAACATGTTTTATCAAAGTTACTGCAGCTTTAAGAGCTTCAACATGGCAGGTCCCTCCATGGTGTTAGTGACCCAAACAACAGCAGACCTGCAGCAGAATGACAGAAAGAAGGACAAATGAAGGTCCTGCAATGTCCTAGTCAAAGTCTAGACCGCGGCCTGATTGAAATGTTGTGGTGGGAGCTGGTTTGAAGCAGCACTGAAGAGTGGAGCTAAATTCCTCCAGTGCAGAGAATGACTGCTGCTTAGGAGGTTCAGCCATGTTTCATTTCAGTCTCTGTTAAATAAACTTTACAGTGGAGTTCAAAGAGAAAAACTGGAATAATCAAATCCAAGTGCTCCAGGAGGAGGATTGTTTCCAGTTCGTGCTGACTCAGTTAGTGTAATTATAAACTCAGTCCTGGTGACTCATCCATTCAGGCTCCCACAGCAGAACAACCACCTACCAAGTGCCAAACTTGGGGCCAGCCTCCCTCCTCTCCACCCATCTCATTCTTTCCTACACGGGCACTCGCATCCATCTGCAGGCGCTCAGTAAGAGACCCGGCAGCCAGGGGAACGGCGCTCCAGTCCAAAGACACTCAGAAGAACCAGCAAACAGTCGGAGAAGATCGACGAGTAGTTTCCTCTTCGTCTAGCAGGATTTAAAAAGGTAAAACCGACTTTTGGTGCAGAGATGCTGCAATTTTTTCATTTTAGGGTGGAGTCGCTGACCCCTCCCAGGACTCTGGATTAATGAGGTCTTTTGTGTTTCATGCACTGAAGAGAGCAGAGATGGACTTAGAAACTTATTCAGGATTTATCCCTAAAAGCAAAGATGTGAGATTTTCCCCTGGATTTACTCCAACCAGAGGAAAGAAGGACACAACTTTTATTTAAACAAGATCATTAATAATTAACTTAGTGAAGCTAATTAATTAGCTTTATGAAGGGGATGAATCCAACAAATGCTGGTTGATTAATATTCCTCTCATGCTAAGAATGCTTTTAGAGGCACTTTGATACCATCTAGTGGTCAATGTGTGAACTGCATGCTGTTCATGGACGCTGCAGTTTGCATTGAGCCAATAACTCAGTAATAATCCAAACCCTGAGCTCGGTTCTGCAACACAAATACATTTAGGTGGTCTAGTACCTTCTACGTGTTATATAATAAGATAATAATAAGATATAGGACATGTGACCAAAATTCTAAAAGTTGTTTCTAATTTTGGGTTTGAAGCGTTTTAGCGACACTCGGCAGCTAGAGAACGGAAATGAATAACGAGAAGTAGGAATATCAATGAGCAGTATGTCAAGAAAAGATAGGTTATATGAAGGTATTTTGATTATTTGTCTTTGAATCAACAAGAGAAAATATATAAATATTGACAATTTTTTTCCACGAGTATGTCATTTTTATCTTGAAAGAGAAAAAAGCTTCTAGAAAAGTACAGTGAAGGGATTTTTCCATATTTAACTGAACTGAAAATACTGTAAGACAGAAACAATGACTGTTCCAAAATATATGTTGAAACTGAATTTGTAAAACTGATTTCATGCTGCAGAAAGCGACGAGGAACAGCAGATATTTAGACTCAGTTTCATAGTCTTGCTTGAGAATAACATCATTAAAATGAACATAGTTAGATTGAACAGTGTTTTACTCCTTAAGCGCCCAGTGTCGCTAATTAGCATCAAAGCTAAATCTACACTAATGCAAGATGCCATTTTTAGGAAATTTAGCATCCAACTTAATAATAGTATTATACACAATTGACTGTATTTTCATCAACAGGCTCTGAGGTGAAATGGCGACACCCAAAAACACTCCTAGAGGCGGAAGCACCCCACTGTCCCCCAACCGCATCACCCGGCTGCAGGAGAAGGAGGACCTCTCCAACCTCAACGACCGTCTGGCCGTCTACATCGACAAGGTGCGCTCCCTGGAGGCGGAGAACGCCGGTCTGCGTCTGCGCATCACCGAGTCCGAGACGGAGGTGACCCGGGAGCTGACGGGCCTGAAGGCCGCCTACGAGACCGAGCTGGCCGACGCCCGGCAGACTCTGGACTCTGTGGCCAAGGAGCGAGCGAGGCTCCAGCTGGAGCTGGGCAAAGTGAGGGAGGACCACAAGGAGCTGAAGGCCAGGTGGGTTCATAGTAACACTCCGGTACAAAGAAAGATGTCACAATGTTTCCATCACAGGAGCTCTACATTTTAAGATCAGATCCAATCTCCAGGGGGATCCAGTTGATTTTTCCAACTTGAAAAATTTGGTAAAAGTTGGATTTCATTTTATTTAAAGGTGCCCTGCATGGGGCCCTAAATCTGTTAAACACGCCCCTGTTTGTTTGTTACATTGACATTTTTACAGTTAAAACTGAAACTCTTCGATCAAAACACCAAAAATGACAAACCCTTATGGCTGCAGAAACGTCTGATTATCATTTTATTAATAAATCCCTTTGACCCAGAAATAAATTCAGAGATACAAAACATTTCATGTGAAACGTTTCTGTGAAAGAAACGTTTTGTTGGCACAGCAGATTATTTATATTTATGAGGATCATGAGACATCGGAGAGCCTGAAGGTTTGGTTATTGGCTGCTGAATGACGCAGACGCTGCTAAACTAAAAACTAACACTGCATGATTTAGTAGATTTAATCTTTAATCTTGTTTTACAGACATGCTGCTGGTTTAAATGTCTTACAGTGGAGCAAGTTTCCATTTCTTGCTGGTTTCTTTGACTCATTTCTGCACAGACATGCTAACATTTAATCCATAAATGAATATTTACACTAGAATTAGAGTGAAATAACGAGTGCAGCTCCTCGGCTCCATCCCGCCTCATCCAGACCCGGTGACTAACTCTTTCCCTCTCCTCCTCTTCCTCCTCCTCTTCCTCCTCCATCTTCATCATCATATACGTGGCAGAGTCTCCGGCTGCACATTTTCCTGCTCGTTTTTCCATAAATATTGGGAAAACCTGAGTGAGTGAGTGTGTGTGTCTGTGTGTGTGTGTTGGGTGGGGCCAAGCTGTTGCCATGACAACTAAACACCAGCGGCTTGTGGTTACCAGATTCATGGGACCAGCGCCGTGGACGGTGAGTCATCTGCAGCGAAGGCTCTCCTCTGGTTTTACAGGGGCGGAGCTGAGGGGTGGCCGGGCGGGGCCTGGCCCCCTCCCACTCGCTGCCTCTGCTGGGTTAAAAATAGATCTGCTTGTATTTTTATCATGTCGTAAAGCTTCAGGCGTCTTGATGTGGAAATAAATAAAAAACTTTTACACTTTTCATACCTTTTCATAGTTTTTTTCCGTTGCCACAACATTAGTTACAATTAAGCGTAACAAGCATAGTTACAGGTAGGTAGTAAATAGATATTATCAAATTAGTATCACGCAATCAGATTTTTGGTTTTTGAAGATTTTGCTTTCCAAAAATGAAAATATTTTTATTCTGTTTCAGTTTTTTTTTCAGTTTAAAAAGAAAAATCTCAGTTTCAGATTGTTCTTTTGATCAAACTTTATGGCCCCAATGTACAATCCCAGCTTCAGCAGCTTCTTCCAGAAGGTTGTGGGTCCGAACCGGACCGGACCGGACCGGACACTCCCTGCAGAGCCTCGCCTGCGGCTCAGAGTCAGACGGCTGTTTGTGTTGTTGCAGGAACACCAAGAAGGAGTCGGAGTTGGCGGCCGCCCTGCAGAGGCTCAGAGACCTGGAGGCTCTGCTGAACTCCAAGGACGCCTCTCTGACGACAGCTCTGGGGGAGAAACGCAGCCTGGACGCCGAGAACCGGGACCTGAAGGCCCAGGTGGCCAAGGTAGGAACGCTGCAGACGGCGGCCCTCCGGCAGCGTCAGAGCGGATGTTGTTGGATCGGCAGGTTCTGATCGGGTTTTCTGTCCCAGCTGGAAGCCAGTTTGGGTGACGCGAAGAAGCAGCTGCAGGACGAGATGCTGCGCAGGGTGGATGGAGAGAACCGGATCCAGACGCTGAAGGAGGAGCTGGACTTTCAGAAGAACCTTTACTCTGAGGTTCAACTTCCTCACACACTAATATTTATTCATTTATAAATTATTTATACATTTTGTATGAAAAATATGATTTATTTGTTTCACTTCATTACATTCCATAATTTTTTATTTTTGTATTTTACTCATTAATTTTTATTAATGTCTCAATTTTTTCATTTATATTATTTTATCCATTATTTTGTTCTCATTAAAGTTTAGAGGTGGATATGGATTTGTTTCCAGGAGCTGCGGGAGACGAAGCGTCGCCACGAGTCCCGCATGGTGGAGCTGGACAACGGCCACCAGCAGGAGTTTGAGAGCAAACTGGCCGAAGCGCTGACAGAAATGCGCGGCCAGCATGAGCTGCAGATCAAACTGTACAAGGACGAGATAGAGAAGACCTACAACACCAAGGTTGGTCCAAGCCTGCAGGATAACGACCAAACAAGACTGGAACCAAGGTGTTGCAATGGCCTAGTCAAAGTCCAGACCAGACGTGACCAGAAGACAACATGAATTATGATTATATTTGATCCATAAAACCTTAAAGCTGAGCTCTGGAGAGAAGACAAAGTTTATGGAGATAAATCAAGTTTGTCGAAACTTGTTTAAAACTGGAACAAAAATGTGATGTGAAAAATGATTTGAAACTAAAATAATTTTAGCTGAAAGACAATCTAAAACCCTCTGGCCGCTGGGGGAGAAGGACCAGGAACTGCTGGACGTGAAAAAACAAACATGGAACTAAAAAAAACATAAAAATTCTATCCAGATTAATTTTTCAGTTGTAAATATTTTATTTTGTGCAAAATATTTTTCAGTTTAAAATCTTTTTTATTTTCCAGTTTCTTTTTAAAATAAACTTTATGTCCCTGCCTTGGCGTTTCTGACGGATCCTCCATCTTGTTTCCACCCGGCAGCTGGAGAGCGCCCGTCAGTCTGCGGACAGGAGCAGCCACCTGGTCGGCGCCGCCCACGAGGAGCTGCAGCAGACCCGGATCCGCCTGGAGTCCACGTCCGCCCAGCTCAGCCAGCTGCAGAAACAGGTCCGCTCCAGCAGGGCCGGAGCAAGCCTTCTGGGGGCCCGGGCCTCCGGAAGGCTTGGCGTGCAAGCCTTCTGGCGTGCAGCATCGGGTGCCAATGCCCGATGCTGCACTGGCTGCACTATGCATGCAACATACCTACAGTTATTGGTGTTGTTCACAATTAGCTTACCCTGCAAAAAACATAATACCAAGTAATTTCACTAGTTTTTTGTGCAAATACCTTAGTACACTTGCAATAAGATAAAATTAGTTTATGTTTTCTGCAACCTGGGTAAATAATAACAGAGAAATTACAGGCCAGTGGAACTATTGCTTTTTCATTCCTGTTAAGGAAAAATTGACTTAAAACAAGTTCCTAAATCTGGCTAAATAGTTACTTGTAAATCAGTTTTGTCTTATTTCTAATTAAAAAGTGTAGGCAGTGCAATCACTACAAAATGCTCTTGGGGGCCCCCTGCTGGCGTTTGGCTCCATCAGTCTGAATCAGAGTCTGTGCTGCAGCTGACGGCCCGCGAGGCGAAGCTGCGGGAGCTGGAGGACGCCCTGTCGCGGGAGCGGGACACGACCCGCCGCCTGCTGGGGGAGAAGGACCGGGAGATGGCGGAGATGAGGCAGCGCATGCAGCAGCAGCTGGACGAGTACCAGGAGCTGCTGGACGTGAAGCTGGCTCTGGACATGGAGATCTGCGCCTACAGGAAGCTGCTGGAGGGAGAGGAGGAGAGGTAGCTTCACTGCATCAGTCTGATCTGAATCTGTGCTGCAGCTGGCGAGGCGACGCATAACATCACCTAATTTCATCAGTTCACACTTTGGAGACGCTGTCAGTGTTCAGCAATTCAACCCTGATTTTTAGACTCACAATTAGATTCAGAAACAATGTTTAATTCAGGGACCAATTTTTCTGTTCAGTCTGGAGATTCTGTTAAATTATGTGACTGGTGAGGAAAAGACATTAGTGTAAAGATATTTACTAATAACAGATTCATATTATACCAAATTCCATCAGTTTAAATTTAAAGGTGCATTTTTTATGCATTTTCCAGGAGCATAATTGCCATTTTGTAGCACAATCAAGAAACTGTATTACCTTCAGTTGTTATAGAAATCCTATACTTATATATCAGATTTGACTTAAAAGAAATGTTACTTCCTGATTGGGTCTCTGTGTCTTTAAAAGCTCCTGTTCTCTCTGAAGCTCCGCCTCCAGGAAGTCAACATGGCTCCTCTATTAACCCTTTAACGTTTTTATCAGCGTTACTCTGAGCAGCAGCTTCTATAAGTTGTTTGCTAATTTCTGCTGGCTAGTCTAAAGGAGCTGAGTGGGGGAGGAGCTGCGCTTTAGGGCGGGGCTAGGTCCACCCAGGTGTTTTGAACAGCTGAATGGTTCCCATGAAGAGTAAAGGATTTATTAAACATGAAAGAATGGAGGCGATACTCCAGGTGTTTGATGAGCGAAAAAATTAAAACATGAAGGAAAGATTGAAAAAGGTAAATTTTACGTGGTAAACAAAAATAAGGTGTAAGCATAAAATTCTGCAAATCAAATTTCCGGTGTCCTGTTGGGTTGGCTGCCTGACATTTCCTTAAATCAAAATGACCAAAGAATTATGCAAAATATAATTTTCTGAAAAATGAAGCTGAATAAAATGGACTTGTGAGCATTTTGGATCGATGGAGTTTCCAGGACTATGGATTAGATTTTTCCTGTTGGTTCGTCCCTGCAGGCTGCGCCTGTCCCCCAGCCCTCCTCCCACCAGAGTGACAGGAAGTCGCTCCTCCACCGCCGTGGCCCACTCCCGCTCCATCCACGGCAGCGCTCGCAGCTCCCCGGCGAAGAGGCGGCGCCACAACGACACCGACAGCGAGGCGTCTAGCTTCGCCGGCGGCGCCGTGGCGCGCACCCGCATCACCCAGCAGGCCTCAGCCAGCGGGCGGGTCACCGTGGACGAGGTGGACCTGGACGGGAAGTACGTCCGACTCAGCAACAAGGCGGATGAGGTGAGAGAGCGGAAAACAGCTCATGGTGTTCCTCAGGGATCCATCCTGGCCTCCCTCTCCTTTATCGTCAACAGTCTTTGTCTTTTTACTGATGATGCTGTGATGTGAACACAAACAGATATTTATCAGGGTGTCAATCAGCTGGATAGTTTCTTAGTTTCTGGTTAACTGGTTCTTAACTTTGATGCCACATCTGAAAAGATCTGAGCTGAAATGTTAGCAGATTTAAGATAAAAAGCAACACAACAGCCAATCTGTTCCCAGGACTTGCTTTTTCACAAAAACTTAGGTTCACTGAACACAAATCCGCTAAACACATATAAAACTTAGCAGAAGCTAGTGCTAACCATGCAGACGTCTGTCTCACCTTCACCTCCCTCCAGCTGGTCTGAGACTCGCTAACAGCAAAACCCTCAGTTTCTGATTTTGCTGTTGTAAAAACAAGTAATGTGACATAAAGTTCATCCAAGTCATGAAAATTAATGACAATAATTGATTTAAAATGTTTAAAATTGGCAGCCATCTTGAAAAATGATGGAAACTTGTTTTTATTGACTCAAACACATTTTTATGAACAAAGCTGTTCCTTTTAGCCTCTGTGTTTGATTTTGCTGCCCCCTATTGGTAAAAGTAGCTTCCAAACCTGTTGAATCTGATCCATCTGCTCTTCTCTGAGTCCTTCATGCTTTCTGAAGCTTTTGTTGGTCTGTCCTGCAGGACCAGAATCTGGGTAACTGGCAGCTGAAGCGGCAGATCGGATCCAACTCTCCGATCATCTTCAAGTTCCCGGCTAAATTCACCCTGAAGGCCGGTCAAAGAGTCACGGTAGGCAACGTCTTTATGCTCCACACTGAGCAGCCAATCAGCTCTCAGCTGTTCTAACTGTCTGCCATGTTGGCTGGGGTCAGATCTGGGCCTCCAGCTCTGGGGGAGTCCACAACCCTCCTTCAGACCTGCTGTGGAAGACCCAGAGCTCCTGGGGAACCGGAGACCAGTTCCAGACCACCCTGATCAGCGCCAACGGAGAGGTAGTGAAAACCAGCTGCTGCCGGGTTTTAAAGCTGCAAAGTTTATGTAAGTTCATGAAAAATGTGTTTTCCTACCAGGAGATGGCCATGAGGAAGGTAATCCGCACTCAGTTTGAAGATGAAGATGAAGACATGGTGAGCGGAACAGCTCAAACTTTTATGACGTTTCATTCCTGCTAGTCCAGTAAACTCGGTTTGATTGGAACCAGAACTCCATCATCTGCTCCACCTCCAGCCTGTTCCCCTCATGGCCTGTGGGGGCGCTGCACCAACAACCACTGCAGGAAACGACACTAATACCTCTGAAGACACTGAGAGCAACTTCCTGTTTCACCAGATGAAACAAGATGGAGGCGTCAGAGTTCAGTGTTGGAGGATTTCTCTTTAGTCTTTGGCTGAAGACCAGGAGCCATTTCTGCTGCTAGCGCTAGGCTAACATGTTAGCTCTGGTTGTATTTATCCAGAATGCCCTGCGCTGTAGTCCACTTCCTGTTTTGGAGCGTTCTCCGGTCTGCTTGGTGTTCACATATGCATTCAAACCGAACCCAGAGTTCAATTATGCAGTCACAAGAGCCATGTTCAGACCGCTTTAATCCAACTCCAGTCTCTCTGTCCAGTCAAAGTCTGGTCTGGTTGGTGAGGAACGCTAATCGAGTTGTTGTCCTCCAGACCTCAGTCTGGGTCTGGTTGAAGTGAACCCTGGTTTGGTTTGAATGCAAATATGAACACCAAGTGGACCGTTCCAAAATCAAGAAGTGGACTACAGCGCAGAGCATTCTGGGTAAATACAACCAATGCTAACATGCTAGTCTAGCGCTAGCAGTAGAAATGGCTCCTGGTCTTCAGCCAAAGACTAAAGAGAAATCCTCCAGCACTAAACTCTGATGCCTCCATCTTGTTTCCATCTGGGAAAGCAGGAAGTTGCTCTCAGTGTCTTCAGAGGTTTTAGTGTCGTTTCCTTCAGTGGTTCTTGGTGCAGCGCCCCCACAGGCCAGGAGGGGAACAGGTTTGCTCAAAGAGTTTGGTTGGTTTGACTCAGAAAACCACAACAGATAGAAATGGAGCAAATGTTGATGTTTTGAACCAAGTGTACTAAACTATCAGGTGTAAAAACAGCCTTAGTATCAAACAATGTCTTACTCTTCACTTGACGTGGTTGAATTTCCTGTCTTCTCCAGCAGGTGGCTCACAGCACCTGCGCAGACGGCGAGTACAACCTGCGCAGCCGGACCGTCCTCTGCGGCTCCTGTGGACTTCCGTCTGACAAATCCAGCAATTGCTCCGTGTCGTCTGCGTCCCGCTCGTTCCGCAGCGGAGGAATCTCTGAAGGATTGGTGCCGCAGTCGTACGTGTTCAGCAGCACACCCCGCAAGGTAGACGGCCGCCCATCACTTCAGTGTTTGTCTCTGGGCTCTTTTGAGCTTTGAGTCATTCTCTCTGAGCTTTTCAAACCTGTTTCCTTCCAGACTGGATCCAGGATGGAGAGCTGTCCGATCATGTGAACACGTCGACCAATGCAGAAGTTTATCTTTCATCTGAGTAGTGTGTAGAAAGTATTAGCTTTTAGTTTTCTTTTTATACTTTCAACATTTTTCAGGTTGTAATAATTCTGACTTTTATGTTAATTTCCATTGTACACCCATGCATGCTTAAAGATTAGACTTGACTTATGTTTAAAAGTTTAGTTTTTCCTTTAAGAAAAACTAAGAATGTTTTTGTATCTTTTTTATCCTTTTATATTCAGTTCTGTTTTCAGTCTTTTGCTTCTGTTAAATCTGACTTGTGTTATTATCAATAACATTATTCTAGCTAAACTGGGCTACAAAACCACAGAAAATGTATTTTTCTGATATAAATAAAAAATATTTTCTAAAAATGTATCATTGAAATGTTGTTTTTTTCTCTTTGTTAGTGGACCATTAAAATGTGATTTTATATAAATGGGATCATGGAGACATTGACAAAATTAGTTTTGTCAATATTGAAAAAAGGCTCCTAGGATTCAAAAAAAAAAATAAATCACATTTTACTTGTGAATAAAATGACTGTAATTTATCTTTGCTTTTATATTATTATTAACATTTATTTTGTTTTAGGACAAAAGAAATGTTTCATTTGGCTCAGAGGCAGGTAAGGTTAATTATGAAGTTTGTAAGGAAAATATTCAGCCAGCAAGCTAAATTTTTATGTTTTTTTTTTTTTTTGTTGTTGTTTAAACGAATAATGCAGAAATTATTGTGTTGTTTGAAAATACTTTAAAATGTTCCATCTGAGTCAGATTTGTATCGAACGTTTTGTCCTACAGAGCTTACATATCATGTTTTTGCTGATTGAGCTTTTATTTTGAAATGGCAGCTTTTATTTTTTGGTCTTGTAGCTCTGAACCCGGAAGTGTTCTGTCGGCCAGAGCGCTGCGGCTAATCTTTAGACCTGCTGATCTTCACCAGGCTGCAGGTTTGTCCAGAGTTTATTTTAAAGACTCTATAACTTGTTTGTAAAGTGAAAAACATATTTAATGATCGCAGATTGTTTCTGGTAATTCCATGTTTCATAAACTCCAGAAAACAGCAGGAAGCTAACAGCTGTTAGCATCAAGATCAACAAACAGGAAACTGGAGTGTAGAAAGACCGGAAGTGATAACAGAAGTTATGAAAAATAAAATGGACACAGGACGTTTTAATGCACATGTGTCAAACTCAAGGCCCGGGGGCCAAATCCGGCCCGCCATAGCTTTTTATGTGGCCCTCCACAGACTAGACTAAACACTAAGTGTGATAAAATATTATATTATCAATGATATCAATGCAGTTCTTATCTGTTTACTGCCAATTTGTGTCAATCAATCCCTCCAGTTTCTTGAGAATTTAGTTGATGTATGATTATAATCCATGATTTATACAGTGGGTAAATAGTCGCATTTATTCCTGAAGGGACTGAAAAGCTCTTCAATAATATTATGTAATTTTAAGAATTTATTGACATATTAACAGTTTGTGAACAGGTTTTATCAACACATTCTGGCACAACCGGCCCTTTAAGAGCCTTCATGGTCTTGATTTGGCCCAAAACGAAAATGAGTTTGACACACCTGTTTTAATGTATAAAATTATTACATTTGATATAAAGTTTATTCTCCTGTTTAGAAATATATTAATTTATTTATTCATTTTGATAAATGATTTTGTTTTGAAATGTGTTTTATTTGACAAAAAATTATTATTCAGCAGTTTCCTAATTTATTTTGTTCTTTGTTTTTATTTATTTAGTTTTTATAGCAGTTTGTTTTTATGTTTCAGAATCTGTTTCACAGTATATCTATGTATTTTCTATTGGAGCCAAACTCAGTGCATCTGAGCGTTTGTAGATTTTTCACCTGGTTTCACAGCGGCTGCTTTCTGTCCCAGTGTTTATTGATTTAAAATATTGACGCATGGATTTTGAATTCAGAGAGAAACGCTGGCATTTTGCCGGTATTCACCAGCCTGTGTCTGTTTTCTTCCCAGGAATCCGTCTCTGGATGCTGAACATCCGCGCTCTGCTGGGGATCGGCTTCCTGGTGACCTCGCGACCTTGCGCGACCTCTCTCGCTCAGGCGGGGTCATGCTCTGTGTCTGCTGCAGCTGACCGCCACAGGAGCCTGTGCTTGTCGGGCAGAGCGGCGTCTACGATGGCCCACGCCGTCAGACATCTCGGGTGAGCTCTCAGAGAGTGTGTGTGCCAAAGCCCCGGGTGTGTGAGGTGAATCTGAGCTCTGGACTCGCCGCAGGCAGGAAGAGGCCCAGAAGATCGACGAGGAGCTGTTCAGCGAGTACGGCTTCAGCGTGGATCAGCTGATGGAGCTGGCCGGACTCAGCTGCGCCACGGCCGTCACCCGGGTCAGAACCTTCACAGCAACACGCATATTTTCTGTATTCAGCAGTGTAAAGTTAGTATTTGTGTGTAGAAGTTTCTGGTAATTTTGAATGTATTTAGCAATTTCTGCTAAATGTTTATGTTGAGCAGTTTAGGTTCAGTTTTCATGTTTCAGTTTCCATAAATAGTTTTTAGCTTTAGCTTCTGCTAATATTTTTGTGTTTTTAAGTTGCTAGCAGAGCTAAGATTTTAGTTTGTTGAATTGGTCATTAGTGAAGCTAAGCTGTTGGTTAGCTTTGGCTAATAACTACTGCTAAGTTTAGTGCCAACATATATTCTTCATTGTAACCATGGTGAACACAAGATCAAGAAAATATATATGATTAAAAATGTGTAAGTAATGATTTGACACCAAACACTTTCATCTGTTCATTGATTTTAAATTAATTTTCCATGATAATCATCTTTAAAAATCCCCAAAATGTCAGTAAATCTGGGTTTTATGGGTTCAGTTATTTATGATTTGACAGCAGAAGTATTCATCGTGGTCAATTTTTTGTGATTTTGCTGAAATATAGAATTTTGTGCAGCTCTGTCAGTGTTCAGGGTCCAGTTCAGCTCTCTGTCTTGTCCCAGTTAGGATACTGGTTCAACTGGGTTTGACCCAGATGGACTGGAGTCCGCCCTCTGCCTGTCATTTCCAGGTTCTGAAGAGACGGTTTCCTGCCTGAGGTCGTTTGGTACGGTGGAACAGACATCGTCCTCCATTTTGTCTCAGGTTCTTGACCTTTGCCCCCTGCAGGCGTACCCGCTGTCTTCTCTGGTCAAAACCAGACCGTCTCTGCTGGTGATCTGTGGACCAGGAAACAACGGCGGCGACGGGCTGGTCTGCGCCCGACACCTCAAGCTGTTTGTGAGTCAGTTTTCCTTCCATGCGTGTTTTTATGCAGATGATGTTTGTGTTTCCTGAGTCGTGTCGCGCCGCAGGGTTACGAGCCCACCGTCCTGTACCCGAAGCGGCCCAGCAAGCCGCTGTTCCAGGGTCTGACCACGCAGTGCGAGAAGATGGAGATCCCCTTCCTGACGGACATCCCTGAGGTTGGATCTTCATCGCTTCGGGCCGTCTGACGCGGAGCGACGCGGCTCTCTGACCCTCTTTGTCTCTCAGGCGAAAGTGATCGATGAGGCGTACAACCTGGTGATCGACGCCATCTTTGGCTTCAGCTTTAAGGGCGCCGTGCGGGAGCCGTTCGGTTCCATCCTGGACGTTCTGAAGAAAATCACGGTTCCTGTCGCCAGCATCGACATCCCATCAGGTCGGGACTACAAACATGGCGTCAGTCACAGCTTCCTGATTGGCTGATGGAGAAACATAAAACTTAAAACTGCTTCATATTAGAAATTACAAACCAGTAAGAGCTGAATGAAATGTCTGAAGAGTTTGATTAGGTATTTACACCAGCTGTTCCAACTCCAGTCCATCTGCCTAGTCAAAGTCTGGTCCGGTTGGTGAGCTGTGAATGCTAATCGATCGAGCAAACTGCATTCAAACTGAACTCTGGTTCACTTTTAATGTGAACAACAAGCGGACCGGAGACCGCTCCAAAAACAGGAAGTGGACTACAGCGCAGGGCATTCTGGGTAAATACAACCAGAGCTAACATGTTAGCCTAGCATTAGCAGCAGAAATGGCTCCTGGTCTTCAGCCAAAGACTAAATAGAAATCCTCCATCACTAAACTCTGACGCCTCCATCTTGTTTCATCTGATGAAACAGGAAGTTGCTCTCAGTGTGTTTCCTGCAGTGGTTGTTGGTGTAGCGCCCCCACAGGCCAGGAGGGGAACAGGCTGGTTTGGGTCAGAACCACAGCAGCTGGAGGTGAAGCAGATGTTCTGGTTCCAGTAAAACTGGGTTTATGGGACCCAAGATTTCCATCTGAACTACAAATAAACTAAGAAAACATTCGATGTCAGAGGACAGTTCACTGCCAATATTACTCGTGTTTCTAAGAGTCTAAAAGGTTCCATATAACAGTTTTCATGTCTGCATCTGTTTCTCCACATTGTTTAGTGTTTGAATCTTTATGAGTCTGTGGGTTCTGATCCTGGTTCTGTCCGTTTGTTCAGGTTGGGATGTGGAGCAGGGCAGCGCCGACGGCCTGCAGCCCGACATGCTCATCTCTCTGACCGCGCCGAAGAAGTCCGCCTCCCTGTTCCGAGGCCGGTACCACTTCCTGGGAGGACGCTTCGTCCCGCCCGCCTTGGAGAAGAAGTACCAGCTCCGCCTGCCTGCGTATCCCGGGACAGACTGCGTCTTACAGCTATGAGCTGACAAGAAACGCAGCTTTTTCTGCTTCTTTTCTGAAAACACTGAAAATCTCCTGATTCGTTTTGGCTGGTTTCCCTCCTGGGATCCAGAAGTTTCTCCTCCAGATCAGCAGTTCTTTGGGTTTTGGTTGCTCCTCCTCAGTTTCAGGCTCTCTTGTTGCTCCTGAGGTAAATAAAGCTTCCCTGAACGTTTCCTGGCTGTTGAGTGTTTAGCGCCCTCTACAGGAAGAATCACACAACTGCAATTCTGCATCTCTGCTTCAAATATCAGCATCAGAAAAATAACTGATTTTGTGTGAAATTGTTTAAATATTCAACATAATTTAAAAACTAAAATGACACTAAAATGTGACACAGATGAAACATTATGGCTGCAGAAAGAAGAACTGGACCCGACATTAGGTTCTTATCACGTTTAATTATATCAAGTGAAGAACTATGAGTTAGTGTAGGGGGCGCTGTTTGTAAAGTTCCACAGTTAAAAAATAGCAATAATTTGAGTTATTTAGTCTGGCAGGAAGAAAAATGGAGGTAAATTTTTAATGTCATGTTTTCACCATTTTATTCATTTTAACCAGTTTTATATCAGGAAGTTCAATATTTAACTCAATTTACTAATTAATGGAGCTAAATATTTAACTAACAAGCTAAATATCTGCTATGAAGGCTAAACATTTAGTTAGCAAGCTAACTAGTTAGATCTAAATTCAATAGTTTGGAGCTACATGTTTACTTCACTAGCTAAATATGTAGCCTAGCTTGAAACTACATATTTAACTTAGCTTGAAGCTAAATATTTAGCCTAGCTTGAAGCTACATATTTAACTTAGTTTGAATCTAAATATTTAGTCTAGCTTCAAGCTACATTTTTAGCTTAAACTGTCTTGTGATTTTCAAATAAACTTTATAGACTAAATATTTAGCTTGCTACTTAAATATTTAACTTTAAGCTAATCTGAATATTTAGCTTGCTAGCATATTTAGTTTGAAACTGACATTTTTTATGTATGAATTACATGGTGAAGATATGAATTTATCCACTTACAAGAGGCTAAATAACCCAAATTATTGCTGTTAATCTCTACAAACATCAGCCCATGAAAGTGGAAGTAAAGTTCATAAATCAGTGATTATCCGTACAGAACCGGTCCGAGGTGCGTCTCTCCGCTGCTGGGTCAGTAAAAGCTCTGCTGTGACTACACATGGACCTGGATACGTTAATGCATAACGGTTTCTGATACGACATGCTTCAACAAGACTATGTACAGTTCTGGTTCCAGGCTGTCAGCGGACGGCCGGGTCCAGTTCAGCTCGTCCAGAAGAGGCTCGCGCAGGCTGGCGATGGAGAGGAGGGTTCTGGCCAGGATGTCGTCATGCAGGTCGGCGCTTGGAGGGAAGTTTTCAGTCCGGGAAGAAAACCTGGCGACCAAAACAGCAGAGAGGCCAGAAAACCAGAAAATGTGTTTATTTAATGGATGCGTCTTTATCAAGAGCCAAAACATCACTTCATAAAGCAACTTCATACAGAGGAAAATGATTTCAATTTGTTTTACAAGTTTGTATGTTCTCTGATTTTAAGTTGATGTTTTAGTAAATATGGACCTGAAACAGTTTTTCGTTTTCTCTGGGGAAAAAAATGAACCTTTCAGTTTGATCAGTAAATAGAGAAAATAAATTCTTCATGCGACACAGAAAGAGAAACGTGATCAGATGTTTTACTCTCAGAAATAAGATATCCTGGAGTTTGCATCATGTTGCAGACGTAAACTGTTGAAACTCTTGAGTATTTTGTGTTTATGATTAGAAATGTTTCAGTTGGACGTCTCACCTGTGCTATTCTCCGACCTGCACACCTGCACAGTTATCTTTGCTCTCCGAAGCGATCGCTAAATATTCAGCATTCCTGCAGGAGAAACGGGAGAAATTGTTCCTGACATGTTTAATGGGAAAAATTATCTAAATTCTGGTCAGTTTTTGCAGAAAATCACCCAAAATTAAATAAGAAATGTTTTTTTCTTTACAACTTTGCTTCAGATTATTTGATTGTTCCCACAATAATTGGTTAATCAAATATTTAAAATCTCACATTTTGTAGATTTTTCAGAAAGTTTTTTAATATAAAATATTAGAAATTCATAAAAAATGCAAATTAACAATTGAAATTATTATTTAAATAAGAAAATAAACATTTTTTGCCTAAAAAGCAAAAACACATTTCTTTACTGAATGTTTGATCATGTGTAGCAATCTGTTGACCCATTTATTTCACTAATTAATAATTGATAAAGACGATTGATAGATTTTTTACTGATTCGGTTCCAGTTGAGGTTAAAACAGATTTGCATACAAACAATGTTTCCTTAAATACTCCTATTAAATAATCAAGACTGATTTGTTACCATGGTTACCAGCTGATGCTACAGTGTGACCTTTGTGTTTTTAGGCTAATTGTGTTTCATGTCAGGACAGATGGAGGTCGCGGCGCCGAGGCGGGAGACTCACGCCGCCTCTCGAAGCGCTTCCTCCCCGGCTGCAGCGATCTTCCTGTAGCAGTAGATCATCTCTATGAGGAGCCAGACCTGCAGCCCGATGATGGACACGTACATCATGACCTCTGACACGATGGACGCTGTGCCCCTGGTGGCTGCAGGTAGGAAGCACAGAAACCTCAGCAGGAAGCAGCTTTTACAGGCACTGAGGATGAAACTAGTTTGTATCTTTGGCATTTAGACCTGATGTTCCATCCAGCACCATGTGAAATCTCTGGCAAGCAGAATAGATGAGCAATGCTTGATGCTAGCAAAACATGCTAACTCTTGTTAGCACTGCTACACTTTCAATGACAACTTATAAGCATCATTTGCGTTAAAATGACTCTTTCTTCGTTTTAAACTGAAATGTTGTTCAGAAAGAGATTCTGTTATAAACGATTATAGCAAAAGTTTATAAAGGCGTGGAGGCTTTTATTTTGGTGATCTACTTCCAGCTGTCTGCAAGTTAATTCGCACATCAGTTAATTTGCAACTAAACAAACTAAAAGTTTGGCGTGGCAACTAAAAATTTAACTTTGAGCTAAATATTTATTGAAAGAAATGATTTGTAGTCCACTTCCAGTTACTGATAAATTAAATCAGAAAATGTTTAGCTTTACCTAAATATTATAGCTTTTCAGAAAATAAATTGGCTTTTTATTTATTTAGTAGTTAAAACTTTGGTCTGTAAGCTAAATACTTAGCTTCCTAACAGAATTTAGTTTCAGTTATTTAGTTTGACAGTGATAAACATGGCTGACTGGCTTTGGGGTCACGCTTTGGGGTCACGCTTTGGGGTGTTATACTGAAAAATGCAAACCTGCAAAGATTTTCTGTGAAAATTTTATTTCACTAAAATGTTGGTAAAAAAATCATAATAGAAATTATTTTGAGAATTAGAAACAAACTTCTCATGACATTAACAGCAACGTTAATACTTTGTTGGATTTGGTTTTCCAGTTGTCTTCAAGGTGTGAATAGCTCTGTGGCTCATGTAGCAATAAATGATTCACTGAAATCGAGAAATGTTTCGGGTTTGTTTTCGATGCCACTGATTGGTTCCTGCTGTTAGCAGCAGTTAGCAGCTGTTTGCAGCTGTTAGCAGCAGTTAGCAGCTGTTAGCAGCAGTTAGCAGCTGTTAGCTTTGCTTCTCCTTGATTCTCCAAACTGCAGTTCCTCTGTGAGCTGCAGGGAAGCCGACACATCCCTCAGAGTGAAAACGTACGATGTGTTTTCTGAATCAGCACAAGCCCAGCTAAAGAGGGCAATGCTTGCAGTCTCGCTTGCTGACTCAGGGAAACAAGCTGCTGATCGAGCGAAGCTCCAATCTGCATCCTTTAGGACAGACGCTTTTTACGCTTCACCCCTGAAGACGTGGCGTCCAAACATTTTGACACAGGAGCCAAGTTGAAACTCTGCCAGGGCAATAATTTTCCATTTTTCTGAAGTAGAGGAGTCACTGGATGAAAACGGGAATGTTAACGTCACTAATACTCTCTGCATTGTAAGACTATTTTTAAAAGATCTGAACGTGTTCAATTATTCCGACAGACCCAAATGGCACCTGGACCCCACAGTGACACTGCTACATAAAAAATGCTAGCTGTGCTAACCCTAAAATGCTAATCAGGATTAGATCAGCCTGTACTGACATGGAATTTAGTGGAAGCTAATGCTAATGCTAACTTCAAGTATGAATCTAAACATGATAAAAAGAAAACATTAAATGATTCGAAAGCATAAATTTATAAGCAATTTTGGAGGACTGGGCTTTTATTTTGGTAGTTCTCTTCAATAGTTAGCATTTATATAAATGCTAACTATTTAGCTTGAAGTTAAATAATTATTGTGAAACAAATTATTTTGTTTCACATCTGCCTCCATTAGGACGCAGTTACCTGGTTATCGGAAAGTTAATTTGCATACTAATTTGCATATTTAGCTAAACATTCAATGTTTAGGCTGAAGCTAAAAATGTAGCTGTAAGCGCTAACTTGAACCATGTGACCAAAAAGGCTTTGAAACAGTTCATTTAAAAGAACTTTTGCATTTTTAGCTTTTTGTATACTTGATACTTGGCCAAGTATTTTTATTATAAAAATAAGGAGAGGAAATGGAATTGCTGCGCTAACATACTTCAACCACTTCAAAATAAGAGCTTGAATAAAAGTAGCTGCTTGCTGCTTGAATTAACCCTTCAATTTGAGAATTGAAAAATTCTCAAATGCCGACAAGAAAAACTTCAAGGCAGACATCGACTGTAAGCCTGCAGAGGAAACCAGGTGAGCTAAACATTTATAAAGTTAAACACAAACTTAGCTTCACTGTTAGCACCTTAATTGATTCTTAATTGAGGATTTTTGGGTGAAAGGTGAAACCCTGACCCCTCACTGGGAGCTGCAGGTGCAGCTTCCGGCCTGCGCCGTACCTTTGGCCACCACGGTCAGGCGCACCACCTTGTCCACGGTGTCAAAGAACTCGTAGTTTTCGTAGGTGAGGGTGCGGTAGAAGAAGCAGCGGTAGGTTCCCGAGTCGTTGAAGGTGACGTTCAGGACGTAGATGGAGGCGTCCTGGATGTCGTTGCTCCTCTTGCTGCCGTTCCAGTCGATTCGATCCTCGAAGAAGTTGTGTTCGATGGTGGGTCCGTTCTCATTGTAGCTGTAGATCTGGTGGGCAGGAAGAGGATGTTAATCAGAGGAGCTGCTGGACTTTAGCAGGAGATTCAGCTTCAGGTTTAGTGTCAGTTTCCTGCGCAGCCTCTCTGCGCTAATGGACCTTTACGGTTCTTCAGTACATGAAAAGGAAAACGGTCCAAACAAAGTCTGACCATCA